GATTAGTATAATATTATTGATTAAGAACATCTCCAAAAACTAAACAGTTTTTTGACTGAAATAAAAAGAACCTAAATATAACAGTAGATTTGAGGAGTGAGGCAAATTTTATAAGTATAAATAATTTTCTAAGTGTAAATAATTTTCTAAGTGTAAATTTTATTAGTGTTAATTAACAAATGTTTTATTATACCACGTTAAACTATATCCTAATGAAGCCCAAATCAATCTACTTGATTAAAAACTTGATTTTAAGTGATCCCCAACTTTGTCAAAATGACATGGTTTCCTGTAACAAATCTATTGTCTTTTTACCAACCACTTGTTTTTTTTCATAAGGAAGTCACTTCTAAAGTCATACCAACATTGGGGAAAATCCAAAGAAGACACTGAGGATGGTTAAAGGGACATAATCCTTTCCTCATTCTGGCTGAGAAGAAAAAAGAATGGTGGTAAAAATGCTTTTTTTAAGTAACGTTCTGAGGAGACCTAGAATTTGCGGGAGGCATTAAACATGTAGGCTGAAGCAAACAAATGACTCTACTCTTTATACTTCTGCTTAGAGAAGAGTCAAATATTCGACCTCAGGTTACATTTCTCTATTTCATTGAAATGAGAATGGGTGGTTCAACAATTTGAAAGGTGATGAGTTCCAAGGAAATATTTGGAATTCATGAGCTATATTTATTTAACTTGAAGAGATCCCAGCATATTTTATATACATCATTGCTCTCCTTGAAAACAACATATAAGACAGTTTTGAACAAAGTTTGGGGGGTCATGTCTGCATGGCTCTGTATTTGTGAAAGAAATCTTCATTGAAAACTATTATACATTAATCACATATGTATATCTCCCCCCCTTCCCCGCCTCCTACCCCCACACTCTTAGCTCTTACCATGCCCCTTTTTTTTTCCATATTACAGCTGGGAAAACCAAGCCAAAGGAAATTCCGCTATCTGCCTCAGATTTCAGTTGGTCAGTGATAGGGACTTAATAAACTACTCCATTAAGAACATTTTTATTGAGAAATAATTGAGATACATCCCTGCATAAACTTGAAGTGAACAGCATGATGATTTGATTTGCACATATTGTGAGATAATTATAACCATAGGTTCAGCTATAGTTGTCTTCTCATATAGATCCAATAAAAAAGAAAAGAAAGAAGAAAAAAGAACAAAAATTTTCTTGTGAAGGGAACTCTTAGAATTTACTCCCTTAACAACTTTTCTATATGTCATACAGCAGTGTTAGCTTTGGTCATCATTTTAATATTATATCCCAAGTACTTATTTATCCTGTAACTGCAAGTTTGTAACTATTAAACATTTTCTTACAATTCCTGTCCCCCATCCTCTGCCTCAGGTAATTTATTTTTTTGCGATTCCATATATAAGTGAGATCATACAGTATTTGTCTTCCTCTGACATTTCGCTTAACATAATGCCTTCAATGTCTATCCATTTTTAGCAAATGGTAGAATTTCCTCATTTTTCTATGGCTGGATAATATTTCATTGTGTGTATATACATACACACACACACACACATATATCTATGTGTCTATATACCAATTTCTTTTTTCAGGGACACTTAAGTTGTTTCCATATCTTAGTTATTGTAAGTAATGCTTCTATAAACATGGGGGGGATGCAAAATTTTTTGAGTTAGTATTTTTATTTCCTTTGGATACATTCCTAGAAGTGGAACTGCTATATCATATGGCAGTACTATTTTTAATTTTTGAGGATCCTTCCACTGTTTTCCATACTGACTATTTCAATTAGCAATTCCTCCAACAGTCAAGGGTCCCCTTTTCTCTACATCCCTACCAGCCTTTGTTATCTCCCATCGTTTTGATGATGGCCATTCTAACAGGCATGAGGTGATATCTCATTGTGGTTTTAATTTGCATTTCCCTAATGACTAGTGATGTTGAGCATCTTTTCATGTGTCTGCTGACCTTTTGTATATCTTCTTTGGAGAATGTCTGTTTAGGTCCCTTGTTCATTTTTTTAATTGGTTCATAAGTTTTCTTGCTATTGAGTGGAATGAGTTTTTTCTATATTTTGGATATGAACCCCTTCACAGATATATATGGTTTGTAAATATTTTTTCCAATTCTGTAGGTTGTCTTTTCACTTTGTTGATGGTCCCTTTTGCTGTGCAAAAGTTTTTAGTTTGAGGTATTCCCACTTGTTTATTTTTTATTTTGTTGCTTGTACTTCAGGTGTCCTATCCAATAAATCATTACCAAGACCCATGTCAAGGAGTTTTACTGTTATGTTTTCTTCTAGGAGTTTCATGGTTTCAGGTCTTATATTTAAATCTTTAATCCACTGCAAGCTAATTTTTGTGACTAATGTAAATATGTGTACGGTTTTATTCTTTTGCATGTGAATATCCAATTATATCAGTATCACTTATTGAAGAGACTCCATTGAGTCTCCATTGGGTATTCTTGGCTCCTCTGTCCAATATTAGTTGATGGTATAGACTTGGGTTCATTTCCAGGTTTTGATTCTGTTTCATTGTGCCTGCCAATTCTATGCATTTATTGTCGTGCCAATACCTTACTATTTTAATGACTATACTTTTATAGTAGTTGAAATTAGGAAGTGTGATCTCCTGCTTTGTTCTTCTTTCTCAGGATTTCTTTGTCTATTCAGAGTCTTTCATAGTTCCATATATATTTTATGAGGGTTTTTTTTTTTTTGGACTTCTATAAGAAATGCCATTGGAAACTTGATAGCAATTGCATTGAATCTATAGACAGCTTTTGTTAGTATTGACATTTTAATAATATTAATTCTTCCAACCCATGAATATGCGATGCCTATCTGTGTCTTCTTCAATTTCTTTCATCAATGTAATGTAAATTTAGTTATGTAAATATTATGTCAAATTAGTTTAATTTATAAGTATTTTATTGTTTTTGATGCTATTATAAATGAGATCAACTTCTTCATTTCTTTTTCAGTAAATCCATTGTTAGTGTATAGAAACACAACTGATTTGTTTAATTTTATATTCTGCAATTTTATTAATTTCATTAATTAAATCTAACAGGGTTTTCTGGGGGTGGAGTCTTTAGGATTTTCTATATATAAAATCATGTCATCTGCATATAGAGCCAATTTTACTTCTTTCTTTCTGATTCTGATACCTTTTCTTCACCCCCTCCCACTTCCCCTCCTCCTTCTTCTTCTTCTTTGCCTGATTGCTCTAGCTGGGACTTCTGGGCCTATGCTGAATAGAAATAATGAGAGTCAGCGTCTTTGTTTTATTCCTGATCTTAAAGGAAAATCTAACAACATTTTACCACTGATTGTGATGTTAGCTGTGGGCTTGTCATATATGGCCTTTGTAAAGAAGTGTTCCTTCTAAACGTAATTTGTTAAGAGTTTTTATCATGAATGATGTACTTTGTCAAATGTTGTCTCTGCATCTATTGAGATAATCATATGATTTGTTTTCATTCTCTGTGCCATATCACATTGATTAATTTCTCTCTATTGAACTATCTTTGTACCCTAGGGATACATCCCACTTGATCATGGTGAAAGATCTTTTTAATGTGCTACTGAATTTGATTTGCTGTATTTTTATTGAAAGCTTTTACATCTATACTCATCAAGAATATTGTCTATAGTTTTCTTTACTAGCAGTATCATTTTCTAGTTTTGGTATCAGGATGATGCTGGCCTCGTGAGTTTTGGATTGTCCCATCATCTTCAAAGTTTTGGAAGAGTTTGAGAAGGACTGGTGTTAGTTCTTTAAATGTTTGACAAAATTCACCAGCGAAGCTATCTGCTCCTGAGTTTTCCTTCTTTGGGAGATTTTTGGTTACTGATTCAATCTCCTTACAAGTAATTGGTCTATTCAGATTTTTTATTTCTTCCAGATTCAGTCATGGTAAGTTCTAAGTTTTTTTCCATTGCTTTTTCTGTAGCTTTTCCATTGCTCTTAGGTTGTCCAGTTTTTTTGTTTATTGTTCATAACATTAAGAAATGTTTTGTTCGCTAAACTGTATGTCTGGTTTATTTCAAGAATCCAATCCAAAATTTGTGACTTGAATTTATTTCTGAAAATATGTAAGCCTGAATTTTCTGAGTCACTGGGTTAGTTTAGATCATCTAACCAGGTTATCTTTGGAAAAATGACATCAACCAGTGTCATGTGGATTCCATCAAGGTATTGCCCATAACAGATGAAGTTTCTTAAGAGAAGCTTAGGCTGAATTGATTGAGAATGTAATGTGTACTTGCAGGCAAAAATATTCTAGCATTAGGAATATGTTAGGCATTAAGTATTTTCTTTTTTGGATTCTTTGTTTTACTCATAATATATGAAAGTACTGGCTAGGTTTTATAGCCCCCTCATGCCTATTTAATAGCTGAGAGTGCTCAAGCTGGTTATTATGGTACATTAGACCTTTGTTGACGGCAAAATGAAATATGGTTCAATTTCCTAAGGTTTTTAAGCAGAAATCCTATAGAAATGAAATGTAAGCAAATTGCTACTCCCAGAATTTCTGCCTAGACTATTCTAATCATACCCACATCCTCCTGGCTGTAACACCCCAGTTAATTCCCACCTATTTATTAAGACCCAGGTCAAGTATTGACTTTTTATAAAGCTCTAATTCTTCCAGGAAGAATTATATTTTTCCCTCTTGCTTCTACAGAACTCTGCATGGATCTCTTTCTACTCTAACACTTCCCAGATAGATGTCTAAGAGAAATCAGACAATAGAGACATGTCATTTTCTTCTGTATATTCTCAATGCTTGAGAAGTACCTGATTACTGAATGTTACCGAAGAGCAGTCTTGTTTAAATTCATGAAACAGGGTTGAGTCATCCACCAGATTTTAGTTTTAGTCAGAGAGGTGGTAGGTTTCCATGTTCAAAATGGGTTTCACATAATCTTATAGCTTAATTGCTTAAAACACTTAACAGATAAATAGCAACAATTCTCTTAGGAATTTGTGATTTACCTTACTTGACTTGTGGTCCACATTAAAAGTGGCAATTGCATCCTCTGTTTTTTTCCTCCCAGATTTGGTTATTACATATTCAGCAAGTTTGTTTGCTAAATAGGTCTTTCCAGTACCACTGGGTCCTGAGAGTATGATTCTGTGATGCTCCATCAACAAGTTAAAGTACCTCTGGGTAATTGGTTTAGGAATCAGTGTATCAAAAACAAAACTGTCCAAACTGTTTTCTTCTACCCCTGAAGGAAAAACAAAAGGAACAGCATGCTTTATTGTTCTACAGAAGCTGGAATTTAAAATACAGTGTTAACCGACAATGGAGTTTTATTGGTTATGGGAATGCGGGCTTTGTAAAATGCTTTCCTTGATATTTCTATCTCACAACCACATGTTGTCATTTTAAGACAAAAAGGCATTACTAAGGCAGAGTGATCATCTAAATGAACCTAAGTGCTTTCCTTTTGTTCAGGCTTTCCTCCACTGTCTACTTCAGGTTTCCCACTTATGTTTCCAGAGAGAAGTGGAAGAATTACTATAAATTCTATTCTAATATCTTCCTTCCCTTTGAAGGTGGTAGTTTTGTTAAGAATAAATGTACAAATTAAAATATATGTGTATTTTCTTCCCTTTTTCTTCCTATTTTCTCTTCCTCTTCATTCTCTTCTATCTTGTTACAAACCCTAGCTGTTCAACCACTTAAGCTTTTGAAGAATATGAATTGTGATATTTGGCAAGGAATTAAGAAGCATAGCAATAGTATCCCCTTTTGCTACTAACCCAAGCACCTTAATCACAAAATCAAATGTTGGCAAATTCCTCTATTGATCCAGTTTATATAGATCTGCTCCGGCTCTTTAACATATATGAACAAAGAATTAGAGAGACAAGTATACTTCAGATATTCCATTTGCCTATAATTAATCACATCATCCAAAGCAAACAGAATTTCTTAGCCCCAATTCTTAACATCTATTCTCTATCCCCAGTGGGTATTTATTGGGTACACATATTTTAAAATCAAAGTACAGTGATGAATTTATTACTCTGGGATATGCAAGGAATTCTTTGTGTCCTCCCCAAATGAAAGATGATAATGGGGGAAAACCTAGAAATTTGAAATTCCCTAAATCACATTCCAATTCTTGAGTCTTGGAGAATCTTCAAAATTACATTCCAAGTTTCATATCCCAGAAGTCAAAGAATTTCATTTACTTGAATTTTAGTGTTTTTAGTAAGATTTTAGTGTTTTAAAAATAAATATGTCCCATTTCATACTAAAACTATCAATGTAGTTAACACAGTTTTCAAATATGAAAATCTGAAGTGAAACTAAAAAAAAAAAAAAGAGAAATGGAGGGAGGAGGGGAGGGAAGTGGGAAGGGAGGGAAGAAGAAAGGAAGTAAGGAAGGGAGGAAGAAAAAAATGGATGTCGGTTTAAAAAAATACAGTTTGTTTTCTTTTCGTTTTTTACCTTTCAGGTTCACAGTAATGATGTTATTATCTCCAACAAGGTATCCACAAGGCAACAGTTCAGGCACTTCTAGGCTGTGAGATCTAATTAAATCTCCTATACAGTAGCTAGCAATGCAGTCAGAGCTCAGACCAAGGCTAGTGGATGTATCAATTCGGAACACATATTCCTAAAATGATACATACAAAAAGGAAGTCAAAACAGAGATTCAACTCATCTACAACAAATAAAAAAACTCATGGGGATATGAAGCTAGCTGTCAATAATTTTGGAATAGGTAATAAAAGAATTATAAATAGCATGCAGCATAAAGAGAGAAAGCTTTCCTTACTACTTGAAATGGAGGCAAGAAAAAGCAGATGTGTCTACATTACTAAAGCTAAGGAAAGCATCTAAAATAAAGCATATACAAAAATTAATCAAGATATCTTGCACAGCTTACCTTAAAGAGACGTCTAATTACACCATCTAAGACATCCCACTTGGTTTTTCCACTAACGCCAATGGATCCTATCAAATATGCCTGAGACTTCTGATCCTAAAAAAGAATAAAATAAAACATGATAAAACCCAGTTATAGGTCTTGTTTTATTACTCTATTTTCTAATAAAACATATTAATGTATTAATAATTAAGGACTAAAATGTTTATTAAGCCTATGCTATGGGTGTTATTGTAACAGACATGTATAGTTTATTATATAAAATAAAACATATCCCAAGAAACTAAACAAATGAAGTAACATCAATAACAACAACAAGAAAGAATGAGATGAGATGAAGTGGAATGGTATGGAAAACTGATTCATGACCTGTTTGGTAGTAGGAAAAATAGTCTTTTGCTTTAATGCAATGGGTGCATTCTGGAAGAGAAGCAGCTTGGTAGAAGGGAGAGGTTGACAGAGATGGACAAGAACTATTTCATATGAGCCCTAGAACTTCATCTTACTCACTTTTGATCCTATCTTTGCTAAGTCTAAAAATCAGTTTTTCATTTGTTAATTTAGATTATACCTAAAAACTAATCTTTTTTTTTTTTTTAAGATTTATTTTGTTTATTTTAGAGACAGAGAGAGAGCACTCCAGGGGGAGGGGCAGAGGGAGAGGGAGAATCTCAAGCAGCTTCCCCACTGAGTGCAGAGCCTGATGTGGGGCTCAATCTCACAACCCTGAGATCACAAACTGAGCCAAAACCAAGAGGGACATTTAACCGACTGGCCACCCAGACACCTCTAAAGTCTAATCCATCTTTGAGAAATGTGTTATCCCCAGTAGCATGGCATTCACATATTTACAAAACAGTTCCCTTTTTGAATTTATCAGAAAATCCACTAAAAGTACATGTCAGGGAATCCTACAGGACTTACTTTATCAAGCAAAGAATCCCTTTCAATACAAAGAATGGTCCCAAATTTATTATTATTTTTTGACGCATGGGATTTTGAGGACTTTCTACATATATTGGACAAATAATTCAAGATTTATAGTCTAAGTGGAGCCTTTTTTACGATGACTGGAAATGGTCATGTAAAATAGTAAGCATGAGGCCAGTAGATATAATTAGCTAGTTGATACATTACAATCCTGATTCTGGTCGCCTACTGCATTCATCCTTAAAAGGTGTTAGAATAATACCTAAGTAAGATATTAGGAGATACGGATTCTACAACACAGAATTACCTACCTAATTCTACCACCTAATTAAAGAAATGTGACTTTAGGTAAGTCACTTAGCCACCTTAGAGCCTTGGTTTTTTATCTGTAACTTTTACCACTATAAGGGTAAGTGATTATTGTCATCATTTAGATATAATTCAAGTTAAAAGCCAATACCTTTTCCAGAAGGAGTTAAGAAATTCACAGCAAACCATTGTGATTTTTTTTAGTACTCTTATGGACTGAATGTTTATGTCTCCCCAAAATCCAGATGTTAGAGCCATAACCCTCAATGTGATGATTTTTGGAAATGGAGACTTTAGGAAGAAGTCAGAGTAGGTCAGTAGAACGGGGCTCTCATGATGAGATTAGTAACTTATAAATATGGGAGGAGAGAGTGACCTCCATCTCTCTCTCTCCAAGTACATACACTTTGGAAAGGACATAAGAAGACATATCAAGAAGTTAGCTATCTGCAATGCAATGAGAGATTCCTCACTAGGAACCAAATCAGCCAGCATCTTGATCTTGGGCTTTGCAGTGATGATAAAATACATTTTTAATGTTTGAGCCACCCAATCTATAGTATTTTGTTATAGAAGCTCAAGAAGACTGAGACAACTACCTTCAATGTTCAAAAACATCACTTTTTAGAATTATTTTTAAAAAGAAAACTTGTTTTCCCATATTATTGTAACCCAGGCAAAATGAATGCTCGTACTATGTTTTGTAAGTAGCTGCTTTTAAATTAGAGCAAGTTTAAGCTTCACTGAGACTATTACAGCCTTTTGCATGAAGACCCACTTGGGAAAATCCGGCATAAATCTGCAGCTCAAGCAGAAAGTTTATGGCACTGGAATTCTTTGGATATTTGTTCAGTGTAAAAATTCACAAGTGCTATCTTACTTTTCAAGCTTCAAAACTTCAATTATTTTAAAATTCCAAAGGAGTTTTTTGTTTTTCTTTTTGATAGGAAAAAAATTCAGAGACTTACAAATTTGTGTTCTTGGCCACTCAACTACAAATTCAGCTTAAAATAATACTTTTAGTTTTAAAAAAGGACTTGAGTCATGATAACAAAATTTGATTCCAGAAAAGTTAAAATATTTTCCTCATCAACTTAGACTTTGCTTAAAAATGATACATACACGAGCATCAATGGAATTATCATACTAAGTTCAGTGAATATTTCTTTCCAGGGTCTATAATATTCATATAGCTTATAGTCTCCTCTTCATACAATGACTATATTGATAACTCTGGTAACATGTTACTACATATCATAAATACACCTGTATTTTAAAGGTGACACCAAAAGAATGTTAGACAAGATGTTGTTGTCAAAGAAAGCAATGTTACTTTTTTGAAGTTCTAGAAATGAGAATGGTTGACAACCAATGAGAATGGTTGTCACCAGTGAATGAACGTGATGTACTGAAACACATTTCTACTTACATGACAGTATCATTTCTTTTAAGTCCCTAACTTCCATGCTTCTACAACGTATAAAGCCAACGCCAAGATACACACGCTGATAGTATATTTATTAGGACAAATACTCAAATATAAAATAGATTTGATTCATGGTCATGCTCATAATTCAGTTAAAGAATTTAAGATTAAGAACATACCTTTGCTCGGCCATAGCCCTTGCTTATGGAGACGATAATTTTCACACTGCGGCCATCTTTGTGTCCAGTTGCATCGCCAGCATCATCTAGCAAAATATCTACCAAAGTTTCACACCACAATAGAGTCACATTAGCTTGGAACTGTTTATTTTCATTGTTTTCTCCCTCATAATTTTATAACTTTCAGTGGGAATATTTGGTCTTTTTGTTTCCCATTCTAGCCTAACTAGTTTGAAAAATCTCAGCTTTCAAGAAGATGAATTAGTGTGGTTGGACTGAAGGTTCAGTCTAAGAATTTTTTCTGCCTTCAAAGACCTTCACCCACATGCTGGGCCATTGCCTTTAGATGAGGAAATAAAGGGTTTCTTTTTCTATTATACCCAGGTCTGAGGAATACCTGAGTAATATTCAGTTACCATTGTAACTGTGACAAACTGAAAAGCAATTTGACTTTTCTAACCAACCTAAAATATCCAAGCTCAATACCCATGCAATTTACGAATGCTAAGGTGCTGAGATTGGTTGTCAACTGAAATTATTTTCAAGCATTTGGCACATATCTAGCTTTACTACTGCTTACCTTATATCTATAATTATTAGGTACTGTTACTGAATTTCAACCATAGCATTATACTTCCCTATGGAAGTACATTAATTATCACTTTCCTGTACCCTTCATGCTTATAGTTTTTAAAAACCAAGATAGTATTTCTAGTAAATAGCTAAGAGTTACAGAAGCATGACAAAGCTAGCTAACCTTCAAAGCACCAGCCTTTAAATGGAATTAAAGATTAATTTTCAAAATATATTAAATGAGATTAATGTCCATTTGGATAATTATTAACATCAACTATCCCACATATAAGTTTTCCTTTGACAATAATGTTATTATAGAACTCAGTTACGTGCTAAAAAGCACATGTGTCTGGTGACATGGGGCCTCAATTACTCTGACTAAATTTATAGAGATAAGGTCTGTGAACGTACTATCAGAAATGATAATTTAATCAAATACCTTCTGAAAATGAAATAGTCCTATTATCTTAATAATTAAGAGTATGTACTTTCACAAAGGAAGAAGTAAAAATAATGCCCTAAGACCATAATAATCAAAAATCAAGAGAATTTGAGGAACATGGATATTTTTGCTAGAAATTTTTAAATCAACAAAGATAATCTCCTTACTAGAAATTTATTTTACCAGATCAATATGTTCACAACCTCTCACCTTATTGCTTATCTCAGTCAAAAATAAAACTCTTTGGTGTCATTTAATCCTCTTGCTCTTTTTCTTAGAAGTTTAGAATAGATTACCGTTAACTGCCTACATCTAAATTTCTGGTAGGCTGTGACCAAATTATCTCCTTAGTGCTTTGCTCCATTAGTCATAAATGTTTATAAATATTCAGAAATATTTATTAAACATAAATGATACCAGGAACTGTGTTGGGCATTAGGAATGAATGCTAAGAAGCAAAATGAATTTTTTGCTTTTTTGGAGTATGCATTCTCCTAGGGTAATTTTAGAATGTGTTAAGTGCAAGAAATAATGGGCATGAAGCAATGAAACAATAACCAAAGGAAGTTAGCTCTACATGGATAGGTCATGCTGGAAGCCTTCCTTGAGGAGGCACTGTTTGGACATAAGACCAGCAAGACCTAGGAAAAGAGGTCCAGAAAACAAGAACAGATGCAAAAGCCTTGATGAAAGAGCTGGGTGTGTTCAAGGCTCAGACAAATGCTCTGTGTGGCCAGACTGTGGAGATCAAGTTGGGGGCGGGGAAGAGTAGTATGAAATGATGATGAGATGGACAAGGGCCAGGTTGTGAGCGGCCTAGTTCTCCACAGCAAGACATTTAGTCAGATTTCTGATCTACTTCTCTGTTCAGGTTTGCTTTGGAACCTGTTACTCCTTTCATGTTATGCTTACTTTTAAAAAACTGTGCTGAAAATATGGAATTTCTCCTGAGAGCAGAAGTAAGTATTTACAATAAATGAACGTATGATTCTCCTCGACATCTCATATGTGGTACATTAAAGCAAAATGAATATAGTAGTGAAAAGGTCAGGTACTGGCTTCATACAGACCTGGGTTCAAATATTAGCTCTGCCCCCTACTAGTCACATGATCTTGAACAAATTATTATCATCTCTTTCCTCAGTCTTGGTTTCCTCATCTGTAAAATGGGGCTCACACAGCACCTACTACATAGGGTTACTGAGACCATCAGTAACTTTATAGCACTTTATCCTCAGTGTTTAATAAGGTCAGCTGTTCTAACCATTACTTCCTTTTTCTGTGTGTTTATTGTAACTCCTTCTCTTCATAGTGGGGGGAGGAGCACAACCTGACTCACTCTGTGTCTCCCCCTGTTCCCAATATATTGATAAGATGATCACCTGAAGAAACAACTCCAAGAAAAAAATGAAAACAGCAAATTTTTGACGTAAAACTTTTCTGTGGGGGTTGGTTTTATTTTTTTGTTTGTTTTACAGAAAACAAGTTATGATCCTCTGTCAATATTTTGAAGGAAGAATAAAAAGACCTGGCATTCTGGTTACAATCAAGTGAAATTCTGACCAAAGAAATGAAGGCTTTTCAAATTCTGTCTTTACTGGATATATAGAATATGCAGTTATAAATCAGGAACCAAATATTTGTCAATTATCCACTGCCCTGCCTACCCCTCACCTTTCTTAACAAATTGATCATGAACCCTAGAAAGTTTTTTTACTAAAAAACCCCAATGTAAAGAGACTTCGGATTTCTAATTTTGAACCAGTAAACAAGAGTGAGGATGGTGAAAACCGTATCCTAGTCATGTGATTTAATCTTTTGTTACTTCAGATACAACTGTCACTAGTAAAAAATAATTAGGGAAATAAAATAATAATAAACTACAAAGAAGTAATAAAATGAGTACTAAAAAGTACAATTTTGAAACCCCTCCCCCCAAAAAATTTGCCTCAAATTCTGAATCACAGACATCAGTATTTTCAGTCTGATGAATACAGAAACTATATTTGATTTATTTAATTTATATTTATCTTTTTGAATTTTAGTCTTTCCTGGACATGAATTCTAGTTTCATTTTTATTTGGCTTCAGTTTCTAAGCTATCTTTAGTACTAACTATGCCCCCTTTAAACCTTATTATATTTCAATGAGATAAAACAAAATCATGTAACAAGCAGGGAAATCCTGCCATGATGTTGTCCAGGCCCCTGTCTTTCCTTAGGAGTCAAGCCAGGACAAGAGAGTCACTGACTGCTTTTGGTTATGGAACCTGCTTCTCTTCTCCATTAGATTCATCACGGACAAGCCAACATACAGGATATTGCTCAGGGCTCCCAGAATCTATACATTTAAATTTTCTGTTTTTTCCTTTTTTAGCGTCTTTTGAAAAACTTGGGTAATAACACCTTAGGGACAATTTACACATCCAAGTTACTATCACGGTCCCCTAGTTCTAATTTACTGTATGGTTTATGAGTTCATTTAATTATGACATCTCTTTATTTTCTCAGCTATTGATATATATTTTACTTTATGTTTTTTCTCTGAATTCATTTTCTCTTCCCCCAAACTTGCCAAATGGTTTCCTGAATTTCAAGGAGTTTCTACTTGCCTTTTTAGTCCTCACCTGTTTTTTCTAAGAAGAAAGCAAGTTATACATTTGAACCATTCATTTTACATTATGAAGGACAGATATAACGGTAGAATTACTAAAATTCTGACTTTGTAGAAGAGATGTGACTTAGTAACAATTTCATCAACAACAGCATGCTGTGTCTCTGTTTCTCTTCCTCATCTTCTATATTTTAGTGTCATTTAAGGCAAGCCTGGAAGAACTATATAGTTGTATAATGGAATCTACAGCTGCCCAGGAACATGTATATCATTGGTTTCCAAGCGTCATCTGGTGGCTACATTTTGCAATTACCACAGATCTTCACGTAAACCTCTCCTAAACTCAATCTTCTATACATAAAATGATTCAGGGCCATAGGAGCTGTTACACTTTATAAATGAAGAGTTGGTCAGATACTAAGATAACATTATGTCAGATGATTCTATTTGCAATGAAATAAAACTGTACCCTTGTCCCATCATTAGTACCCTTGAACACAATAACAGAATCCAGTGAGTTCTTTTCGTTTGTTTGTTGAAAATTTAATAGAACTGTGCCCTGGGTGATGTAGTAGCCTTATGTTCTCTCTGGGTAACATCATGCAAGATCTGGTCAAATTTACAGAGAGGTGCTGATATACTCATCAATGGGCTTCATACCCTTAAAACACCATAAAATTGCATGGGATTACTAGTATTATAGTCATGAGTACTAATGCTCAGCACTGAGAACATTATTTTTCTTTATGGTGTTCATAATTGCTAAGGAGGTACTTCTCAAACACAAGTAATTTTTTAAATGATATGAAAACCATGATCTCTTAGGTCTTTCACTCTTTCACAGAGAATGTTCTTTTGAAGTATAATAAAGTAGAAGAAATGGGGCTATTTCCAAGAATTAAGAGGGCTCACATTTTTATGAGGGTAAAGTGAGAAGAGTGGTGGGTGAGATTCCCCAAATTCCAGCCCCCTCCCCCCTCACGAAGTCATAGGAATGATTTGATTCAGGCAGGTGTGTACACAAAATTACCTGAGGTAACAGACTCTGTAATGTTCAGATTGTTCAGGGAAAGGCCCAACGACTGCCGTGAAGATGAGGACGATGTGGTGCTTGAGGACTCTGATGGTGGGCGAGCTGGTTTGGCCGTGTTACCAGTTTCTGCCTTCAATCGGTCATTTTCTGCCTTCAGTATTTCAATTTCATTCTGTTGTGAGGGTGGGAAGTATGAAAAAAAAATCCAGCTAGTTTTGAGTGAGAAAAATGGTACCCATGCTTTTATCAGAGTTGATTATTGGTTTATTAAATAAAGCACATGGTGATATGTTAAGTAAACAATTATAAACTATGAAAACAGGATTTCTCCACAGAAGGAAAGTCAACCTACTCTCTTTCTTACATACATATATTTGTGTATTCACAAACATAGATGCACTAACCATTAGAATTTGTTTAAGTATTTTTTTATATACCTTATATTTGAGGAGTCTTCCAGGACTTGATCCCATTTGAATCAAGAACAACAATTTTTAAAGCATTCATAAAATTTCTCATTTGAAGATTTCATTTATTTATTTGACAGAGAGAGACAGAGAGTGCACACAAGCAGGGGAGCAGCAAGCAGAGGGAGAGGGAGAAGCCGGCTCCCTGCTGAGCCGGACCCTGGGATCATGACCTGAGTCAAAGCCAAGTCAAAGACAGACACTTAACTGACTGAGATACCCATGCACCCCCAAATTTCTCATTTTAAACATACTGTTAAAATCTTACAGGTAAATAATTCCATCTGTAATAATATCCTGAACTCATGGAGAGTTGAAAACCAGAGTCAAACAGAAACATTATAAAAAAGGTGGTTTAAAATTATTTCAAAACCCCAGCTAACATCTGAAAGAGTTTCTGTTCCTTCAAAATGGGGACGCTAGGCTCCTAAAAACCACAGAGACCTTTTGGTGAATATACACAGTGGCAGATAAATCTGCTCAGCAATGAGCTTTTCTTATTTCAGTCCTCTACGATACCCAGCGATTACTGGTTTATATTAATAAAACGAAAACAGCCTGAGCACAGACTGGTTCTGAAATTAACCTTCAGATGCTTCCTCAAATACAAAAGATTTACTTCTACAGATGGCATTCTACATCACTTTTATTTTCATATTTAGAAAGCTTGTGTTAAATTTCTGTAGTTTCCTAATTACTTTTTCCCCCCTCAATACAAAATAAGTAAAGGCAACTGAAAGTCAGATTTCAAAAGAAGGGGAAAAAGCCAACACAAAGGTAAATTATGGGAAAGTGAAGACTCGACGTTTGTCGTAGTTTCTCGGCAAACTCAGCTCTCAAGTGAACCCAATCACTGGTACAAGTGTCTTGAATGGCCCTTGAGTGCAACTGGCCAGTGGGTACTCTCACTTCCCACCCTGGCTTTGACAAAATGCTCCATCTCCATTAGGAGATGAGGGGCAAAGTTTGAATAAACAGACTGTTTCCATGGTGGGTTTCAAAGGGAGATTTGTTTTTATAATAACCAAGAGTGGCAACGACATAGTATTTTTCGTCTCTCCTCTTCGCTCCTGCAAGGTGGTCAGCACTGACCTGCATCCGGTTCATGGCTTCCCGGATCTGGTCAAGGTGATGAGCAGAGCTGAGGGCCTCTAGTCGAATATCTGTTAATTTTAACTCCTTTTCTCTGAGCTCGCTCTTCAGCTGCAGAATTATCTCTGCCTCAGCCTCTGTGCACTCACAGATCCTGAAGAAGGAAACAAACACAAAATCAGTTGCCAGGAGGGAAACCAGGGGGTCAGGAAAAGCAATGCTTCCTTTAAGGCTGAACTGCGATATTATCCAGGAGCTACAGAGGTTTTGTGCTGCCAGCAAAACCTAAAGAGAAGGAGAAAGAGTTTTACAAACAGTAATACATTTCCAGGTTCAAAACTGGAAACAGGAACTGTCTTTTTCCTTTAATCCTTTCTTCCTATTTTTCTGAAGTTTAAAAACAATCCATTATTATTCAAGACCAAGTAATCTTCAAAATATCGTTGTGGCTGATATACATGAGGCTGCATAGCATTACCCCATCTCATTCTGCTATTCTTCAAGGGACTTAAATTTCTATTTGCAATTTAGGAAATATTTTTTTAAAGTACTCATGTTTTTAAAACTGATTATTATTATTTTTTTTGCAAAACTGTGCAAAGTGTAACATTATTTGCTACCACACTGTCTTCAAGTTACCATGAAAATCCAATATAAATATTGTAGAAATTAAATCAGGGAGATTAGTTTTGGACATTTAAATAATGGATGAGTGTTATATAATCTCCCTGGTCAGCTCAGCTGATTTAGGAGATCAAAGCTAATGAAGCTAAATCACAGGTTTCAACCCATGCAAGTGGACTAGTTGAGGGCTCCTTGAAGGTCATCGACATTACTTCCTCATTATTTTGTTGTTATTGTTGTTTTGTGGGTAGTTTTGCAGTAAAGAAGGTGCGAGAACTTGTTTTTGATGAACTAGTATCTTTCCCATTTAAAAATATGAGGACTACCTTGTTGATTACAGAATGATAGTGGTAGGTTCCTCTTTCCTATACAAGTGATGAAATTATCTGGGATACACAAGCATCTTAAATGGTCCTATTAGTGGCTCTGTTCTACATGACAGTGCTAGGCTAGTCATTGACACGGGCATCCGAAGAAATCTGATTTAAACAGTATATAAAACAGAGAATCACCTCATCCAAGTACATGTTGTACATTCTCAAGGTTTCATCCATTCTTGTAACATCAAACGGTGAGCTACTATAAAAATGCTATGCTAGGTTATCCAATGGAATTAAAGGCAAATGGATTACAGCCTGGTTTTTAGAAAAACAAGCTGGACTTCAAAACCAGGAAGACAGAGGAGGAGGTTTTTATCGTTGAAATGCATGCGAGGGATTTTAGAAAGAGAAAAGGCAAACGCTGCTGAGGTTAGAACCGGCATCTTGGCAAGTTGCATGCATCACACGCCATTTTACCGGGATCTATGCTTGTAGATCACAGGGCCATTTTGCCGTTTCTTTGGTGGCCAGACAAGGGGCGACCTGCATGGAATGCACAGTGAGGCAGAGACATGGACAAAGGCCATTTTGAAAAGAAGTGAGACTGATGACACAGAAGAGTGGAGCGTGAGGTCGCAAAGCACGCAGACTCTCATGTGTGAAAAAGGAAGGAGAAACCAGGGCTGCCCACGGTTCTAAGGTAGATCAGAAAACCACCGGCACAGATGGTGTTGCCTGACTGCATTTACAACACACACAGGGGCTTGGCCTGCAGCTGTTTTAAAAAGAGACTTCAGCATCCTGCGGAGGGGAGTGACTTACGCGGAAGCCGACTGTGAGGGCTTCATGGATGCGGACCCGCAGTCCCCCGCGTGGTGGGGCACTTTCGGCGACGCTGGGAGGGATGAGTCAGTGAGCTCTTCGATGTCTGAATGGGAGGAAGGAGGCTTGGTGGACTTTTTCTTCCCAAAGGCTTGTTTGAATGAGCTTCTCAGCTGAAAAGAGGACAGGAATGACCTTTCTTGTCTTTGTGCATGTGGAGAATTTGGCTTTGGGGCGTTAGTTTGCAGGTGCTATCCTAGCCACTGCCTGGGGTCAGTACGTACAAGCAGAGTATTAACAGGTGCAGCACGGTATCTCTAGAAAACAACGATACCGCGTTTTGTGTTTTGTTTTATTCTTATATTAATCCAGCGCAGCGCAAACACGGAAGGCTTTGAAATAGTGCAAGGTCAAGGGCATGGCTGTCAGAGCACTCATTTAAAACTAAGTACCTTGAAGGGATCTCCACTCCCAATGCTTCTCTCTTCAAGGCAATTTGTTTTAAATGGGCCACTTTAGCGCTACAATCAAGTCATGTCCTGCTGACAGTATAAACTTAAAAAGCAAAATGAAATCAAATTCACCTAACACTTCATTAATTGTGATTTTTCTATTCAAATTTTCAATTCCCATGCTATTCAAAACCGGAATTGGTATCCCCTACAGCTCTATTCAGAAAGGTTTTTTTTTTTTTACCTCTTCTTTTTAAAATTTGAGATTAAAATGAAAAGACACAAAGAAAAGACATACAAGGTAATCTGTTTTTGAAAGGTATAAAAAGCCTACTGCCAAAATGAATAGCATTCATGCCAAGGTAGGGTATTTTTTATAGATGCATGCCAAATTGTCCACGGTTTATATTCACCTCACTTCCTCTAGAGTTCACCTTGCAGAAACATGAAAGAGTGTGGAATTACAAATCAAGGGAATGAAGGCTGATCAGTATTTTAAATATTACCTGTATAAACATTTTTTTTTTAAAACAAAAAAGATATTTCTTTCATTATTTATAGCAGGCACTCAGCAAAATCCTCTGATAGTTATGTTTTGGATTTCATCAATAGTTGTACTTATTTAAGAAACTACCTTCATTTTATGGTATTGAAAAAAATCCTTTACTGCATGGTTTTTAAACATTTTGCTGTGATAGCATCTTCCCATCAGTTTTTTAGCAATTGCTTAGTATCATCATAAATTCTATCTCTAGCACATATAAAGCATTGTTCTGGGAAAGTACATTTCTGTATTTCTGCTATATTCTCTTCCAAAAAAACAAAAACAAAAACAAACAAACAAACCCAGAAAGCAGACATTAAGGTAGTTGATTTCTGAGGAGGTGAAGCTTTATTCACACTATACCCCATTGAAGTGAGAGGTGGGGAGGCTTTCAAGGTTTCTTCTTTCCCTTTCTTTACAATTCATTTCCTCTCCTCTTCCTCCATCCCTGCCACAGTATCACCACCACACCACCATCTTTTCTTCTCCCTCATCTCCACGGTAAATCCCTGCCCTGTCATTTATTAATAGACGTCATCTCAGTTTTCTTACAACTTCATAAAATCAGTATTAATTATCCTGTTTTTGTAGATGAGAAAACATAGACCCCCTCAAAAAGTGAAGTAGCCTGCCTATGGTCCAAGTATTAAGTGGCAGAGTTGGGATTCAAACCCAAGAGTAGTCCTGACCAAAACCTCTGCTCTTCAGCACCAGGCCACCCTAATTCCGGTGATGAGTACTGCCTTCCAGGGGGCCAGTCACTTGAGGGAGACTCTTTGTAAACTGCTACAGACTTCCAAATCTCCAAAGAAAACAAACCTGACTCATCGTGCACTAATAAGCTTTCGAATGAGATGGATGACCAGGGCTTACCCAGTTTTTCTTCTTCTTTTTCTTGGAGTCAGCATCATTACCACTACCAATGCTGGAATGGCTTGTGGCACTGTTGATACTAGAAACACTTTCAGAAGAATGTTGTCTTCTGATACGGAGATCTAGCAACAGACAGAGAACATCACATTAGCTCCCAAAGACTTTCACTGTGAACAAATAAGACTTTTATGGTTTCTGAGAGGAAGTCTGCTAATAAAAGTCAACACAGCTTTGTACAGATCATCTCAGTGCAGTTTTGGATTTGTAAGTTTAATAAAGTACCACCTTATTTGCTTTAATTAACTGGGTTATCGGCATTAAGATTCACTGGGTATCTCATAAGTCTGTAGCTCTGCTGGTTTAATGAATTCTGAGTTTTATCCAAAAATGAAATGCTATGCTAGTGATTTCTCTTGAATACCTGGATCAAGCAGATCTTCTGAAGTGATTTATTCCAAATGATTACTTCCATGGAGTAAATGGAAACTCATAATAGCATGAGAATTAATTGTGTCTTTTTAATATCAGTGCTTTGAATAAAGCTACCGAAGCCAAATATATTAATTTTCCATTTCACAGAATCATACCATAATAGAGTCAAAACAAACTTTCGAAGTCATTTAAGCAATTCAATTCAGGTGACAAAATTGAAGTGCAAAGAAGTAACTTAACCAAGGTCAAAGAACCCGTGAGGGAAAGGTGCCCAAGAGAGAAACTGCATAGACTGCATGTGTAAACTAAACAGGAAACATATTTAAGACAATGCAATTCTTCCACCCTAGTCCCACCCGTGACCTGGAATAGTAATGACAGTAATAATAATAACACGTAATATTAAAGCTAGCTTTTACTATGTGTTTACTCTGCCCTGGGATTATCTAATTTCATTGTTTTGGTTTTTTTTCTTTTAAAGATTTTCTTTACTTATTTGAGAGAGAAAGAGAGAAACCAGGGGAAGTAGCAGAGGGAGAGGAAAAAGCAGACTTCCCATTGAGCAGGGAGCCCAACACAGGGCTCAATTCCAGGACCCTGAGATCATGCGTGACCTGAGCTGAAGGCAGATGCTTGACCAACTGAGCCACCCAGGCATCCCTTATCTAATTTTATTCTTAAAGCAAAGTGTTGAAGTAAGTTTAATTATGAAAAGTAATTTCATCAGAGTCACACAGATGAAACACAAAAGAGCTAATCCAACACCTAGGCAGATATTAACGTCTGTTGTGCTAAATGCCATGTGATACGGGCTTGCCATACTTCTCAAAAGCATGTAGTGCTTCTTTAGTCACACAAGATAACTTGAAAAAAATAACATTTGATATTTAATCACATTTTGAAGATACCCACTTATTCCATACAATCAGCTTATAAAATTGATTTATAATTGTTGAAACTGAAATTTCATCTACTTACTGTGAACTGATAATAAGTGTTAGTGGAGACACTGAGAAATTATAAAATTCTTTTAAGGTCAAGTCTGCTTTAAAGCCAAACCTATTACTATATTTAATCAGCATCAATTAAGATTTGTCAAGCAAAAAATCTCAGTGGAACTTCCAAGATGTCAGAAATTATAATATAGCTTTCAAAAAGCTTCCATAGAAACAATAGTATAAAAGCAAAGCCTTTCCAGTTGACTGCTTTATTTAACATTACAACACCCCATGACAATGAAACTATAACTGTTACTTTCAAATATAATAAGGGAGTATATGTGTGGGTACGTAATACATGTATACATATCTCTAACCTTAGAGTCATATACATACATATCAGTAAGTACCTTAATTTTTCCATTAAGATAATAAGCATGGTGACAATTTTATAGGAGGGAAAAAATAAAACAATTTTTCAGAATCCATAGAGTTTGGTCTCTTAAAAGTCCTTTAAAAAATAATGATGAGACTTTACTGTGGTTACATGCCCAAAATATTGCCCAAAATACTATCAGTGTCAACATTTAAATGAAGGCATTTATTTATGTGTGCTATTTTGGTTGAACAATAAAGGAGCACAGTATGCCTTAATCAACAAATATGGAAGTTATATAAATAAAAGAAAAATGTGCTGGTATTTATTTGTGTTTTGAATTTCTGCTGTGATTGTCTATAAGCTTTTGTGTTCAAGATACATTATTTGTTAGGTTTTTCCCTAGTAACCGACTTTCACAAATAAAACAATTATACTAGGTGTTAAAGTACTTCAGAGTTTTTATTGTATCCAAAAATTAATAAATTGTATTTGACTTTGATTAACCCTCAAAATTTAAGAAGATGAGTTAATTCTTATTATTGTAAGTCAAAAGTAGTCCTTAAGGGTATTATTTACTTTCAGTTATGATGGCATTTACCAATAAAGATTAGCAAAGGAATGATTTCAATGATATCATGGAATGAAAGGAATAAATTTTACTCATCTCTAACAATTCCTTTCTAGTGCTTGTAAGTATTAGATTCAGTACATGTGGCATCATAGAGCTTTGTAGAGAATGGTTGGTCCAATGGATATCGACAATATGAGTGAATGGAGAAGCTTATTTTACAAGTCTGTATTTCAGTTACATCATCCATTCATTTCCTCTTCTTACCCTCCATACCAGCACTGCCCCGGTTCAAGCTATCACTATCACTTACTTAGCTGCTTGACAGCAAGAATGGCTGTCCAAATTTCTCACCTTCAAACCCTTCAATAGATGGTAACTAGAGAATTCTCTTTAAAAGAAAAACATCATCACTCCCATACTTTAAGACTCTTCAACAGATTCTCATTTTAATAAGAAAGAAAGCATTTCAACTCTTAAACAGGGCCTAAAAGTCCCTCAGTAGTCTGGTCAGTAATTCTCTCTCTAACCTGGTTCTATGTGTTGTAACTTTGCTCACTGTACCAGTCCCATAAAGGCACTAGTCCATTTTCTATCTCAAGGCTCTTCTGGAATAGTCCTCTCTCAATACTTACCAAATGAGTTGATCATTATTCCTTGGAGCTCCCCTTAAATGCTGCTATCTGGGGGAAGGCCTTTCCTGACTATGAACCTCTAGGAGGGTCCCTGGTACCCTTGTTTCCATGGGCACCTAGGCCTGTTGCTTTTATAACATAAATATTTTGGCATACATATTCAGCTATGCCAACGATCACAATTGTTTATTTCCTGCTCTCCCACAAGACTAAAAGCTTAATGGATACAAAGATTATATCTGTTTTGTTTACCATTGTATACCCGGGATGCTGAACAAACTACGGCAAGTGGTAGGCAATCAACAATCATTTGTATGTAATATTATTATTATTATTCATTGAATATAACTATGTTTGCCTAACATTCCTAAAAATGTATTCACTGTTGATAGCAATTTACTACATGTTTTGTTCAACTGTATTTGGCATATCACAAGGAAAAATTTTATTCTATGTTTGTACACAGAGGTAGTGACTTAAAAAACAATAGTATATTTTGAAAAATAAAAGTAAAATTTTCCATTACTTTACTTTTCATATATAGTTATATAGATGTATTTCTATATAGTTAAAGTTATACAGAGATATATTCACATCTCTGTGGCAGTTGACTGTGAGCCCTTGAGTCCTGAAGACTTTTTTTGAAATCTTTATATTTTGAGATCTAATAGAGTGGATAGTATATACTAGGTGTTCAAGGAACATTTGTGCATGAATAAATAAATTTATTATATTATAGACTACTATTATTTATCATACCTGGTTAATAAACATGATGCACAAATAGAAAATAGAAAGTTACATTCATTATGTGAATTTGTCATAGTTTGGCCTGTCTGTGTTGCCCCACTCCAAATATATACTGTAAGGTTGTATGTTACAAATTTGTCTAAGATAAATATATAAAATTCTCAAAAACAAAATCTCAATATGATTTCAGACTGTAAGTTTATAGCTTGTACAATCACCTTAATAACCAATGGAAAACAACAAAATTAGTCCAAAAGACTTTATTTTCTCCATGTTATGTCAATGGTCAATATAGTAAAAATCAGTTTATGTTCACTGAATTTAATATGAAGTTTTAATATCACATAAACCTAATCTAAATATCCTATATACATTTATAATTCCTGTTTTTGTGCATTTTAAATCTTATAAAAATATTTTTAAATCTTTCTTGACCAATTTGAATATTAATTATTATCATCTTGCTTATTTTATGTGTCTCTCCCACATAGAGCAGAGGCGTTCCCTTTTTTCAGTTCCAGTAGGTATATAAGGGTACCTGTTGGCTACAATAAAAAGAATCCTTCCAGAAAGTTTTACTTCAGTGACTTATACTGCGTTAAAGAAAGGATTAAGCCTTTTAAAATCCCTTCTGGACCTATTTACGACATGAAGATTTAGAACATAAGCTGCTTTATTATAGCTCTAAGATAAGCTTTAAATATGCAGTAATTTTCCATGTGGCATATAAATCAACTCCCCCACATGGAAAGTTGCTAAATTCTTAACAGAAGTAGCCCCTAGAGAACCAGTTTTACCTTCACTTTAAGTATATCTCACTTTATATAATTTTTCCCTAAAATTTAAATTCAAGTATTTAAAAAATTACATTTTTAAAATCAAAATTCAAATAAGCCCCTTTTGTGTGATAAGGCATCATCATAGCCACTTGGACTGAAAAAACAAACCATCCAACTGTTGATCAGAAATTAACTTAAATAAATTAAGGCACCAATTAAAGCACATTTAACTTAAATAAATTAAGGCACCAAAGTATATGACAAATTTGGATAGAAGCACAGTATTTCCAGAAAGATATCACAAGGGGACCTTATCCAGCTTAAGGGTCAAGGAGGCATATTTAGGCCAACTCTTATAAGGTTTCAAAAAGTTTTTATGTTGAAAATTTTAAGGAGATATAACCAGAACACAAAAAGAACTTTTAAAGAATTAGAAGTAGTTCAGGGTAGCTGAAATATACAACATGACAAAAAGCAGAGAATAAGGTCTAAAGCAGTGTCTAGCTAGTAAGTGGCAGCCAATAAATATTTGCTGAATGAACAAAGCTGGTGAAGAAAGATTATGTCATGTTAAGAAGTTTGCATTTCATCCTAAGGGCAATGGGACATCTGTGTGTGTGTGTGTGTGTGTGTGTGTGTGTGTGTGTGTGTGTGTGTATATATTTGACAACTGGTTTGGTTTCAGAATGATATAAAGTGGTGCAGGATGAAAGGCAGGAAGGATTTAGGAGTTTGTGGTCATAGTTCAGGGGAGAGATGAGAGATGGTGATAGGAGGATGAGAGAAAAGGGAACAGATCCGAGAGATATTTAACAGGTGGAATCAATAGAACTTAGTGATTTAATGAATGAAGAGAAGAGGATTTATGAATGACATCTAGATTTATGGCTATATAGAAGGATGGAGGTACTGTTTACTGAGGCAAGGAACAATGAAGGCAAAGCAGGCTAAGAGGGAAGATGACAAGTTCAAATTAGAAGATGTTGAGTTTAGTGTGACAAACAGACATCCAAAGATAACCAAAGACAGCTCTCTCTGGGGCAGCTAGATTTATAGATCTGTAACTCAAAAGATGAGCCAGGCCTGGAGAGATATATTTGACAGTTATCAACACATAAATGATAATTATAGCTAGAGGATTAGATGAGTTTGTACAGACTTTTAGAGGGGATGAAGAGACTCACAGTGTACCAAATCTTAAAGGAAGTCAGTTGAGGACTGGGTTTTTAAGAAATACCAACATTTAACAAATGGACACAAAGGAGTGAACCTGCAAAAGAAACTTTGAAAGAGATTTCAAAGAATCCAGAGAAAAACTAAGAGTGTGAAGAAATGAATGTGTCAGGTAGGATAGAAGGACATCAATATCAAATGCTATTTACACGTCAAATACGATAAGAATTTTAAAATGTTGTACTGGGGGGCACCTGGGTGGCTCAGTGGGTTAAGCCTCTGCCTTCGGCTCAGGTCATGATCTCAGGGTCCTGGGATCGAGTCCCGCATCGGGCTCTCTGCTCAGCGGAAAACCTGCTTCTCCTCTATCTCCCTCTCTGCCTGCCTCTCTGCCTACTTGTGATCTCTCTCTGTGAAATAAATAAATAAAATCTTTAAAAAATAAAAATGTTGTACTGGATTTTGTGTCCTGTAAGTCATTATGGATCCTGGAGAGAACAGTTTTGGTTTGATGGTAGGAGAAGCCATATTCTAGAGGTCTGAAGTGTGACTGACTGTTGGAGACATTAAAAGATTCCATAAAATGGTCCCAGGATTCACCTGGAAATGGGAAAGTACATGATAGGGCATTCAGGGTTTAGAAAAGCTTTTTTTTTTTTTTTTTTGGTATGCTGGTGAAGAGTTGAGCATATTGAATGCTGTTGATGAGTTAGGACATGAATAAGTAGAACCTATGCAAAGAAAAAAAATGACATGACATGAATACAAAGCATTTCTTCAGTGGGAAACTAAGGAGGGTATGTGGTAAATAAGGTTATTTTATTACTATTTTTTAAGATTTTATTTATTCATTTGAAAGAGAGGGACAGAGAAAGCACACAAGCAGAGGGGAAAGGAAGAGGGAGAGGGTGAAGCAGACTCCCCGCTGAGCCAGGCAAGAGCCTGATGCAGAGCTCAATCCCAGGATCTGGAGATTGTGACCTGAGCCAACGGCAGACACTTAACCATCTGAGCCACCCAGGTGCCCCCATTATTGTTGAGAACTGATGAAGCATAGTAATAATGAAAAGCAGACTTTCGGTCATTTTTCTTACTGTTCTTAACATTTCTGTAAGATATGTATGTGTCTATTGCCTCCATCCAGAATGATATTTTCCTTATACCTATTACTTGATATTTCACCATATCGATTATTTTATTTTTGTTTACAGATCTAGATTTTCAGACTCCTTATAGGGTGTGTTTTGCTTGAAGTCAGATATAAATGCATTAAGCAACCTCCCCAACCCCACTTTCACCAAATCAAATGGAGAAAATTGTGTGTATAGAAGCAAATTCCTTAAGGTTAACTAAAAAATTATTGATAAGGAAATCCATTATTCTTAATTTCTGGCATTCTGACTGCATTAAGGCCTACTTATTCATTATAAAAGGTAGTGCCACTGAGTAAAAGCAGCTTCACTCCAATAAATAAAATGAAATGGGTATTTATTATATTGAATGAAAAATGGCAGTATTTCTAAAAATACCTTTGGGAGGGTGGTCTGGACCATTCAGTGCTCCCTGGATAGCAGCCTGGGCAGCGGAGTTCTGGGCCTTCAGCATTTCAATGGTTTCTCTTAGTTCTATAAGTTCAGACTCCTGTGAAACAAACAGAATTTAGAAGTTTTAATGCCTAGAGAGAAAAGTAAAATGTCCTTGTTCATAATTCACCATCACACGGGTTTCATTTTATGTAGTACTAATGTCTGGGGAGATTTGGATGCCTGACTGACCTTGTCAAGTCATATCTAACAACTTCTTATTTATCTAAATGTAAAGGAGAATTTTAGAAAAATGTCTCGGTTATTCTCGTATAAATGTGATCTAAATAGTCTTTATTCCTTTCAAAGGGTAGCATCTAAAGCTGACCAGTGCAACATAAAGCAAGGTATCACACTGCACATTTGATACCACACTCATTAATATTACCATGATTAGATCACAGAGTAGTGAGCAGAATTGCACAGGTGCCTCACAAGGCATTTACTATCAGCCGGAAACCCTGAATTCTTGTTGAATGAATGACTTCAGATTTTGTCTCCTTTATATTGCCCTTGGGGAACTGATTCTTTATATTCAAGTATAAAAGCAGGAACTCATCCCTACCTTGCCTTAACTACACGTCATCTTATTAAATTCTGCTGGGCAAATCAAGGTCATCTTAGATTCTGATACTTTTCATCCAGTAATATTCCCAGTATGGAGACCCAATTTTACCAAGCCAAAGCAACGCAGGAATTTTTTTTTAAAGTGAATAGAAATACATGCAATCTACAGCCCTTAAATGATACTAATTTATAAAAGAAAAAAAAAAGGTAGCCTACACATCAAATTGTTATGAAACATCTTTTTTTTATTGAACCCAGGGTAACTTTAAGATGTGTCCCAATGAACATAGACATGATTTTTCAGTTATCTAAGTGAATTATCAGAAATGATTACAAGGAAGAATGAAGAAGATAGGATATGTGCCTCTCCAAAAAAGGAAGTAGAATATTGTTTCAGCTTGGGCAGTATTTCCCTGAGGAGCTCAAAAACAAGGGGCAGTGGTGGCAACTCTAAAAAATTAGAATTGTTGTCAGCCTCTTAGAAGGAGAATCCCTAGGGAATGTAAATTGTCATTCATCATTTTCTGTAGCATCTTTGGCAGAAATTCAAAGAATCAGGCTCAGTTTCTTCACTCCATAGTAAATAGCTTATTCCTACTCTCCATCTCCCAGAATATAGTAAAAAGGTAAGATCACGACAATTGCTTTTGGAGGAAACATCTTCAGATGTAAGAACATCCAGAGACTAGTCTAACCCTAGACACTTGGAAAAAAAAAAAAAAACTAAAAAGCTAAAAAACCCAAAAAACATAAAATAGGCAATGCTAAGTGAAACGATAGCCAAGTTTGGAACAGATACCTAGTATGTCCTATAACTATTTTCACTGGATATCTGACATATTTCTAATAGAGGACACATAATTAAAATAATAATAAACCCTCTTACAGACTTCTAACAGTTTATAAGTCAAAGAATCTCATAATGAGCGATCGGTAGCAACCTCCCGGATTCACAGCTGGATCTTCAAATATTTGGCTGTAATTTAATTTGCATATATTCATCAAAAAGGAAAAATAACATGTTTGTGGAAAATTTCCACTGGCATAATACTAAATTCAGACCCAATTCATCATAATTTCTTACTCTCTCCAAGTTCTCTCTATAATTTTGTCCCTTGCTCAATCAGTAATAGATAAATTTTCCAAAATTTAATGTATTTTCCATTTAAAATAAATCTCCCAATAGTAAAATATTTACAGAAATTCATTCTACCTTCACCAGAAAACTTCACAAAAGGAGTTCTATAGTGCATACTTAATGAATCACATAATTTAAACAGTAATTTTACAACATATAGACTAGAATACACATTAAATTTTAATGAAAATCAGATTTTCATCCTTGAATTTAAAATCAAGAATGCTTGTACTATGGATTAAAAAAACCTGCTGAAAAATATGGCCTTAGGTTGAAAGAAAAATGGAATGAGATCTCATGCAAAGGTCTAAAAAATACAGCTTAATTTTATGAGTAAGCTGACTTATTTCAATGTCTAAACTTTAGTCTTTTCTAGAGAAATCTCTCCTCACAACTGGTTTTTTTTTTTTTTAAAGATTTTATTTATTTATTTGACAGGCAGAGATCACAAGTAGGCAGAGAGGCAGGCAGAGAGAGAGGAGGAAGCAGGATCCCTGCTGAGCAGAGAGCCCGATGCGGGGCTCGATCCCAGGACCCCGGGATTATGACCTGAGCAGAAGGCAGAGGCTTTAACCCACTGAGCCACCCAGGCTCCCCCAAAACTGTTTTTAAAAAGATTAGAAGTGGAATGCTCAGGGAATATTGCTTTTTCAGAAAACTGCATTTAATATGAGATAGAAGAATGATCACTTTTATTTATTTGACAGAGATCACAAGTAGGCAGAGGGGCAGGCAGAGAGAGAGAGGAGGAAGCAGGCTCCCTGCTGAGCAGAAAGCCTGATGCAGGGGCTCGATCCCAGGACCCTGAGATCATCACCTGAGCCGAAGGCAGCGGCTTAACCCACTGAGCCACCCAGGCACCCCCTAAAATTAAGTATCTTCTTTAAGAAGATTATCTATTTATTTGAGAGAGAGCGGACACAAGTGGCAGGGGGAGGGGCAGAGGAAGAGGGAGAAACAGACTCCCCGCTGAACAGGGAGTCCGATGTGGGGCTCGATCCCCAGAACCTGGGGTTCATGACCCGGGTCAAAGGCAGAACCTCAATTAACTGAGCCACCCAGGTGCCCCTAAAATTAAGGATGGCAACAAAGTCAGGTTTCCCTTTCTCTCTTCCAGTAGTAAGTATATAAAGATTAATAAAAGCACTTTAAAATGAAAACTTGGCTGAGACATAGAAATTGTTTTATAATAGTTTGTTTCTAGTCTTTTCTTTCTTCTTCATAATTACAGTTGGTGGTTCACATTTATTTTTAAGCTATATACTTTTTTAAAAAATATTTATTTATTTATTTTAGAGAGAGAACCCAAGCAGGATGGGCAGAGGGAGAGGAAGAAAGAATCCCAAGCAGTCTGTGAGCTGAGCACAGGGCCCCAGGTGGGGCTAGATATCACAACCCTAAGATCATTATCTTGAGATCACGACCTGAGCTAAGACCAAGAGTCAGGTCCTCAACTGATTGTGCCACCCAGGGTATCCCTTAAGTTATATTTTTCTAAGATGACTATAATGCTTAGAAATTACAATGCTGCTTCCAAGTACAATTCTGAAATCCTCTTTTTTTGAGGGGGGTGGGCCTTGGTGTGGAGTAGATCAGAAATATGTAAGAAGCAAGTTCTAGAAATAGCCAAATATAAAATCATTTGACACTCTGAAATATTTTCATTTAGTCTCTTTATTTTGAAGGGGACCAATAAAAGATACTTCAGTTTTGAGATTCTCTATTCAACTTTCAGAAGAAAAACCTGGAAAATGTATATGCCATCAAGATATGAGTTTAATGCCTCTTCTAATTCAGTAGTTTCCAGTTTCCACTCTCTTCATTATATACTAAAGAGAAGACAGGACTTAGGATGATTCTGTACAGGATCTTGGGAATAGATGATCAGATTATACTTTGTTGGTATTTTTCCACTTTTCAAAAGTGGGAACTAAACTGAAACTTCATTCACCTATAATAAGCTCTTCAAGATAACAATGCCCCAGACATCTGCTTTTTCCAAGACAGTTTCTCGTGTAAAACAAGCTGGATGGAGCCAGTATCTTTTCTAACTGCTTTGTACATGTCTCTGAGGCTGAGTTATCAAGGTCAGACTTAGAATGCTTCAAAATGAGGTGATCAAATACTTTGTCATAATACTAGCCCTAACCTAGTGTCTCTTCCATCCTAATTTCCTAACTGCATCTGACCTCCTTCCAAATTTCTTCTGGACACAGGCCTTGCTGAAAATCCTACAAGCTTGGCTCAACCAATTTGACCTTCTAGGCAAGACTTAAAAATTTGCACTAAACCTGCTTTTGCTTCCTTACACTGACACTCAGTTAATCTTACACTATCTAGCTGTCTAGCTGTAGCTTCTTTGAACATGTCCTACTCTCCACGCCTATGTGTGTGCCTTGAAAGCTTGTAAATTTTTCTACTGAAAGAACCCAACCCAACAAAATGCTCTAAGTTCCCCAAATTCCAGTAGTACAAGTAACTTGATTCCATGAATAACATGGATTCAAGTTATCCTATGCTCTAAAAGGCTAATGAACATATTTTCTGACTCTAGTGATACATATTTTTTAAAGATTTTATTATTTATCTGACAGAGAGAGATCACAGTATGCAGAGAGTGAGGGGGAAGCAGGCTCCATGCTGAGCAGAGAGTCCATTGCAGGGCTCGATCCCAGGACCCTGAAGATCATGACCTGAGCCGAAGGCAGAGGCTTTAACCCACTGAGCTACCCAGGCGCCCCTCTAGCGATACATTTTTAAAAACACTTCTATATGACAAATATTTTAACCTGAAATGGGAAGAGTTAATGTAAAGACCTAATTCAATGCAATTTTTAGCTAGTTCCACATTATCTATTTTCAGATAATTGGCTTTACATTTTCTCATTTTTAATGCTTAAGTGTCTATTTATCTAGTCACCAAAAAAGTAGCTTCACAGAGGTAAGAATGAGCAAACCCCAGACTTTACAGTTGGCATGAGGATCAATATCTGAGCTCTACCACTTCTACAAAAAGATATCCCTCTGCTGTCTCTGACATTCCTGTTAATTCATTATTTTGAGAGAGAGAGAGAGAGAGAGGCAGAGAGAGCATCTTAAGCAGGCTTCACGCCCAGCAGGGAGCTGGATGTGGGTCTCAGTATCACAACCCTGTCAGACATTTAATCAACTGAGCCACCCACGTGCCCCTGTGTTCTGACATTCTAAAAAGACTAACCAAGTACACCTCAAAATATGTTCTAATGGCCTCTGGCACAACTGCTACAGGGAAATAATTTGAAAGTCTTCAAATTATCAGTGAGTATAGCCTTACTAAGTTCGCTGGAATTTAGCAATAGTTCTGAAAAAAATTCATTCATAAAAATACAGACTTGTAAAATTATTGCCATTTTGATGACTTGCATTAGAGCCTTCATCATCTGGTATTCTATAAGAAAATAAAGTGCTGAACAAAAATTTGAATGGCATTTTTTTTTTCAGTTCTGACAAGGATGGTACAAAGGTCGTACCACTCCAGATGCAGAGAAAAAAGTTATTTTTATCACATATAATAGATATCTCAGGCCATTAAATCTTCATTCTTTCAAAGAGTCTTGATGGAGAAGTGCTAATAAAGGGACAAGGACCATAAATCCAGGCAAAATTCTTTTTTTTTTTTAAGATTTTATTTATTTATTTGACAGAGATCACAAGTAGGCAGAGAGGCAGGAGGCGGGGGTGGGGGGAAGCAGGCTCCCTGCTGAGCAGAGAGCCCGATGTGGGGCTCGATCCCAGGACCCTGAGCTCATGACCTGAGCCAAAGGTAGAGGCTTAACCCACTGAGCCACCCAGGAACCCCTCCAGGCAAAATTCTTGATCAGACTATGTCAGTGTCGCCATCTGTTGAACCTTAGGTTAGGTATAGGGCAATACTTAGAGACAATTTCTCTCTCCAGCCAACAAGCATTCATGACAAGTATCTCAATTTTCCCTACTTATAAACTTACTATTATGTAGCACGTAGCCTTCCAGTGGCTACTGAGAATGCTGTTAAACTGTCGGGAAATGCTGATGAACTGATCTTCATTAACTAACTTTTATCATGTTAGTTTAGAGTCAAAAGCCTTGGAATGGCTCCTTGTTTTCAAGGACCAGATTCCCTAGACATCTTTCTAGCCTTAGTTTCACATTTTCCCTCTCCACGTCCCTTAATGTCTCCCTTAATATCCCTCCTTGCTGCTCATGCTCACTGTGCCCCTTCTTCTACGACACGTAGTCCTCCGTTTTCCTGGAATTATTCTTTTTCATCCTCCTAGAGCCCAAATGGCCCCCTCTGTGCCGCATCTACTCCCATCTTCCACCCGTGCCATCTTCTACCCCTACCCCTACTTCCATCCGTGCCATCTTCACTTCTGGAACCAAAGTCAAGATGCGGTGGTCCCCTGTGAGCCCGCTCAGGACACTGTATTATTATATTTCTAATGGCACCCCAAATTTTCTGCCTCCTGAACGATTCATACATGTCTTTTCTCTCTCACCAGGCTATAAAATGTATAAAAGCAGTGCTCTGGTAAGAGAACCAGGATTCCAGATACGGCACCTGGGAACAAGGAAAGATTTTAAGACACTATTCAAGGAAGTGGACTTGGTCTATAAAATCAAGCTAAAATTTTGATACAGCTTTCAGGCTATTAATGCCATATGATTGTTGAAAATCATACTTTGAAGCCAAAAGAAGTCCAGACGCTTGGATTTGAGTCCCAGCTTCATTTACATTTAAGTATTTAGCCAAGACCATGTAACCATCTTGGCTTTTGTTGCTTCATGTGTTAGCATCCCACCTTGCCTCCCAACATCCTCACTCTCAACATTCTCAGTGGTGCCTATCCTCACCCGAAATCCTGTATTTTTAATCCTAATCTGTCACCTATTAGAAAATAAACTCTATTTTATATTTTAACCAGTTATAAACTAGGATATAAACAGCATGTGTGTGTATGTGTATATAAATAAAATGCATACATATATTATATGTAGTATATGTTACCTACATATATATATTTCACTGCTGAATTCTCACTAGCTAGAGCCGTCTCTCATACACAGTAGAAATTCAACATAGCTTTGGTGAATGATTAAATGGACAAATGAGCCTTGGAACTCGAAGAACAGAGTTTCAAAACCTCTGCTCTATATGCACTAATCTTTTTCCCAGGATTGTTGGATCACCAGAGAGCAATATACCCTTTTATCTCAGCTCCCTGAAGAAATGACTTTACTGAAATATGATTAAATGTTATGCCCTCAGCTTTTAGAGAAATGTCGATTTGAACAGCGGTTTTGCCTTTTGTTATTCCATGACCCCAATTTAAGAAACTTTACAATAAATTTGTCCTTGAATTCAGTGCCAAAAAGTTTGTCTCTTCGATCTAAATTATGCTCTTCTGGTCAGAAAATGAGAACAGACAGGCCAAGCAATCTCCCTTTGTGCCTTAGCCTCCTTGACATTCAACTCCTTTCAGTGCTTTGTGGTACCGATTACATAGGCTCAGGCATCTTGTTATATACATTCCTCTGCTTGTTTGCACTAGATTCTGTTATGGAATTGTGCCATTTCATATTGCAATTAATTTTATGATTCCCAAAGCCACCTTGGAAGTACGCAAGTTATAAATCTCAGATTAGTAAAATAAACTACTTACTAATGTTGTTGTGTGTGTACGGCTTACAATGAGACATGCAATCACTTTATTTTCAGTTAAAAAATGGCAAGGCAATTTCAGACACCATGATATCTTCTGAGAAAATTTTATAGCTTTGGCAATGTTCCTTTATGGTTAATGTGCACACAGTTATAAAATTCCATGTATTAAGCAGATACATTTTAAAAACACTCAGGCATTATTCAGAGGCATTACAAATTAACAAATGCATCATCGTTTTTCAATATCTATGAGAAGTTTAACTTATAAATACAAAAGAATCGAAGGAAATATGGGATGGTAAAAAATGCTAATTTTGATTTCTTGAAGACACTGAGACTTGAATACTAACCATGATTTTTAGCAAGACACCGGCATATGGCCAATGATGAATTTGGTTTAACCTACATTTTTTTGAGGGAAAAAAAGGAGGGGAATGTAAAGAAAGGTAACTTTTTTTTTGTACTATCCACCGTGTGTGGCCTTAGATAGTATCTTGCTTATTCCTCAGAGTGATTCTGCAAGGTAGTTATTATAAACCTGACTTCTAACATGATGACCGTGAGGGTCAGCAAAAGAAGATTCTACAGCTCTTAAGAGGGTCCCCGAGATTCATACTCAAGCTTCCCTGGGCTCCAAAATTCATATTCTTCCCCACTCAGCTGCCCTAAATGACCTCGTCATCCTGTTTGCTGAGCTCTTAGGTTACATAGTGAAGTGGTAAACTGGACGGCTTCTCTCCCCTTCAAAAAAAGATGAAGATAAAATTCTTGTGCTCAAGAGGCATTTGTCACCTTCCCTTACAGAACAGGTTTGACAGGGATGCACAGTATTGTCTTCCATGGGCAGGGGAAAATCTCTGAAATAGGAGAATGAAGATAAGGGCAAATAAAACAGAGTTTGCTGATTACACCAGGCTAGTATAGGATTATTTGGTTTTCTCCTGAGTTTAACTGGTCTGTTCATTCAGGTGTTTTTTTGTTTTTTTTTTTTAACTTAAAAAATGGTAAACTGATGAAATGGTAACATATACTAGTTCTCTAAAGCTAATGACATACTTTACAGAACTAAAGACAAAACTGAAGCCATTTCTCAGGACAGAAATAGGTACTGATTCTGAAAAAATCCAAAGCTTTCTTGATTTTGGATCTCTTTGGAAATTAGACAAAAACTGGACATCCGCTCACATTATGCCCATATGCAGTTTTTAGAAATGTTTCCATATAGTTTTAGACACCTCATCCATCTCTTACACTGATCCAAGTTCTCAGGTCAGGGTTACCAAAATAATGGCTGAAAGGTAAGTTACTGGTCCTCCCGTGGAAAGTGTCCATATTCTTTCCTGGCAACATGAACCTTTTTGATATGTTTGCCTCATGAACTAAATTCTCTGTTTCTTTCTTTTTAGAATTCCTTCCCCCTTCCATAAAACCCTTTGGGTTTATTTAAAGATTTTTGATACGAGTTAACTTTACTTTTCAAAGACAGCAATCCCAGAGGCAAACTAATCCCCATTACTCCAAAAGGACACAAATTTTCATCTAGCATTCTGTATTTCTAAACTTCAGCTCAGGATCAGTGTTTCAGCCTCTTGTCCCACAGCTGCTGTAACGTGAGCCCCTTCCTTTACAGAGTCCTCACCTCTCCTCCAGACTTTCTCCACAGCTATCTCTGCTTATAGCCATCATCTGTATCTGGGCTTGCCGGCCACGTGTTTGTGAAAATTCTTATCGGAGTGCAATTCTTGCCAACTGTATAACAAGTTGTTCCTAGAATATTCTAACTCTTCTCCTATACAACTGTTTCTCTTCCTAAACATTGGTATTCTTTTAATAGGTCCAACCGGGAGTAAAATAATAGACTGCCTGGGAAGAACTTTGTGTGTGTGTGCCCGTGTGTGTGTGTATGTGATGTGTGTGCTCTGCTATGGGTTAAACTGAATCATATGTCTTTAAAAATTAAAATCTGAAAAGAAAAAGTATTATCTCGTCATTTTCCAGTTTAGTGTGTCATGTATCCTCTGCCACATTATGTTTAAGGAGCTGCCCCTCATGCATTGTTTAAACATTCTCTGCAACTTGCTGTCTTATTTCAAGCCCCCCGTGGCAATTCTTGGACATACCTTCTGTTCTGCTGTCATGGTTAGACTCTGCAGTCGGCCAGTCATATTCCCTAAACTCTTCTCAAAAGCTGCTACGAGGTGAGCCTGGGAACAAAAATGAAAGGAACACGTTTTGAATGTCAGAACCTTATGTGGATGGATGACAACTCTTGATTTTATAAAATGCTTAATTTCAGGTATTCTAACTCTTTAAATACTAAGACCATCATGGTTAGCTTTCAATGACGACTCTCCTTCAATGTAAATCTTTGTTTATGTCATTTCTAAACTTCAGTTTAAATTCAGCGCTTCTGTCTCTTGACATTTAATGTGAGTTCAACTTCTGAAAAGGGATGGTATTTTGCAAATAACAACACCTTCTGACTTGCATTTCACAGAGGATTTGACACCCAAAATACTGAATAAAGTTCGGAGTTGCCAAGTTTTTAGACTTAAAGCTCAAGAGGAGGCCACTGCCACAGTCAATGGACAAATGTTTCTCATTTTTATACGTGCATGATGACCTTTGGAGATATTGTTAGCTCCTTCATTGTAATGATCCCTCTCCTTCAAGTGTCAGACATCTGCTGACAGCTAACACACGATCTTTCCTCTTTTTGTGTGTACAAAGAATGGAATCAGAAAGAGTTGTCTTCACTTTCCAAACTCCTTTCAATAATAGGGCTTTTATTTCTACTTTATTCCCTTCAACTAAGGAAGTGCGGGGAGGCCAGCTAAAGATGATATTCAGTCACATCTTACTTAAGTTTTCATGGCTTTTGGGTTTTATTTTAAATCTCAGGGAATTATACATATTGAGGTATAAGACACTAACTCTTACGATTAAGAAGTATTTGACAATCTTACAGCTCTTGAACAGGCCAGTTTCTGTTGGCACGCCATTATCCAACAGCTTCACCCACAGAATATTAAGCATGGAGAGATGTTTCAATCTTTCACTGTCGCTGGAGGAGAGCTACAGGTGCCTTTTAAAAAATTTTTTATTTATATATTTTAATTAACATATAATGTATTATTTGCTTCGGGGTACACATCTGTGAATCATTAGTCTTACACAATTCACACCATTCATCATAGCACATACCCTCCCCAATGTCCATCACCCAACCACCCTCTCTCTACCTCTCCCAGCCCCCAGCAACCCTCAGTTTGTTTCCTGAGATTGAGAATCTCTTATGGTTTGTCTCCCTCCCCAGTCCCATCCTGTCTTATCTTAGACTGATCGAATTTTATTATTCCCTTACAAAGATACAATGATAGAATATTTTACACCTTACATCTGTAAAAAATTACACGTGTCAAGGGTGGGTAAATTTGGCAATCCTTGGCAAAAGACTAATTTTTTAAGAGAAGGGAGTAAAAGGACTTATTAAAATACATCACCTTGTTACTCTGGTAGAGCTGAAAAGCTGAGGTAGCTATTATCAGACAGATGCCAGGAGTCCCAAGAATTAGGGCACTAGAAATTTATTCCATTAGTTGTAACAGCTAGAAGTTTATTCCACTACTGATAACAGCAAGAAGTTTATTCCATTATTGGTAACAGCTAGAATGTACAAGTCTCTTTCATTAGTATCACATATAAAGGCATCTTTATTCCTAGCTCTGAGCTTATCTTGTGCTCCCTTTCTTTTCCTGACACAACAATATAAAGATCATTTTGAAGAATACTTCAATTAATCTTCAGTCCACCAGTACAAATCTTTATTCTTTTTCCACTCTCTCTTGCCTCCATTTCCCCACCCCCCGCCCCACCAACTGTCTCTCTCTCTCTCTATCTATCTCATACATACACACACAAGCACATAACCTTGAGACCTATATTCCAAGGCTAGTTAGCAGATTTATTAGGATAAATAACACTCTTTAAAAAAAAAGAACAGTATCTCGTAGTTGAAAATGTTTCCAACAACAAGGAATATCCTTACATCAGACTTAGGACTGTATCAGAGATTAGCATAAGGTTACGTTCCATTTTCTCTCATACATAAACTTTTTTATTGTAAAAAACTTTTAAGTGAACAAAACCATATTAAACCATATTAACCATATTAAAAGTGAACCAAATGAAAACGCACAGCTCACTGGTCTCTCAAGCAGTGACATTCATACAGTCACCAGCAACGTCAAGAAGATTGTAGAAGTGCTCCCTTACCTTTCCCCTATGTTCCCCTCTCCCTGACCCAAAGATAACCACTTTTATTGTAACACTTATGGTAATTATTTTCTTACTTCTCTTTATAGTTACACAACAAAGCTTGCATCTCGAAACACTATCTTTTAGCTTGTCTATTTTTAAAACTATCAGAGTGGAATCATATGCCACGATTTTTTTGTGACTGTTTTCCTTTTCTTAACATTGTGTTTCTGAGATTCAAACACGTGGTATGTCACAGGAGTTAGATTTTTGCTGGAATGCATTGCTTTGTGTGATTTATAATATATTTGTCCATGATTGACCATTTGTGCTGATTCCCATTTAGGATATTAACAATAATCCTGCTGTGACTATACAATGGTTTACTAAATCCTAAAACAAAATCTCTCACTTTCTTTTAGAATAGAGAAAATTCTGGCTGGAAACCACTGTTAATATGTACTAAAAGAAATGCAAGATTCTCCTCAATATTGCAATTTTAATTCTCCCAAACTGTACAGCTTAATTATCAGATATATAAACTTGAATGTATAAAGTCGGAAGGAAATTTTACTTTTACCTTCTACGCATATTTTCTCAGTTAAACAGGAGTTAAAATATGACAAAGAAAATAGGAATGTGAATATGCTGAATAAATATACTGCCTGTATTTCATAGCTATTAGTTAATACAAAACGTTCACTATGACAATGTCAGTTTTTAATTTTTGGAACATTGCTGTTCATTAATTACTCGTACGAAAATGTGTAAGTGGTTACCAAAGAACATTTTAAGTCACATTATTCTCCATGAAAAATATGTTGTGAGTATGTTAGTGAAATACTGCTTTAAATTTCTGTGGCCTTGGCTTAGGTTGTCAGATTAACTTTGTTACTTTGAAGGTAATACAGGTTAAATTTCTCACCAGTTGGATTAATGGAAAGGGAGTCCAAGAGACCAATAACAGATATCATTCCTACCAGTGATGATCTTTGTCACCTCAGTGGAAGGAAAATGGAAAGTAAAACCAATTGAGTATAGGACAATAGATCTTACCTGAAAAACTTAATAAAATGATGACTTTTTTAAAATTGTGGATTCTTAGGGGGGCTATTGATCATGGTTTACTTGCTTCTGACTTTTTCATTACAAGCTGCATAATTTTCAAACCAGAGTAAAATCGTATCAATATGATACAATCCCTGACTTGTGTTAGGTGAAGTTTGTCAAGGGAATAAAATAGACACGATGCATATTAGTTAAGGGAAGGTATTTCTAGTAAATACTGTCTTTAGTTTTAGAATCCCATAATATAATCTGAATCTTTACATAAAGAGAATTATTGTGCTGCTAAACAGCAAGATGGAAAATTATGAAAAGTGCCTGCATTGTACTCACTCACCCAGAATTTAGTGACAGTCCATCAAACAAAAAAGATATACATAGATTTATATGGAGATGTATATAAATGTGACTTTACATTTGAAAATCAATAGATGAACTGAAAATGATTCTGAAATTATCATAAATAACATTTCACATTTCTTTTACACATCATAAAATCGTTCCTTCAGTGTTTGTCATTGTTAATACGTGCAAAATTGTTTTCTGTAAAAGGAGATGCAGAAAAGCAAGAGTAACTGCCAGAATACATAAAAATATTAAATAGAGCAAAAAATAGGACACAATCCTAAACAAAATAATACCCGAGAGATTTTTGGCTAAAAGACATATGTGCTGAAAGGAAGAAATTAAAAAAAGTACCCTTTGTTTTGTGACATATTCATTCAGTGATATGTTTGAAAAATGGAAATGATAACGACTTAGTACCCATTTCTAAATATGTAAGAGCTGAGGTTCATAAACAAAATATATTAGAACATAAACTAATGCTCCCCATCGGACTTGGCTGTAGGGATGTGCAGGTGAGAAGCCAGAGGGACCCTGGCTGACTGCATGATATGACCATATGTTCACAGATGCTTGCTGGGGCGCTCCTCTTTTCTTCCTGTTCATAGGTGGGGTACTGATTCAGGGAAGGTTGGACAGCATTGTCTGCCAAACCCTCTCTCCTTTCTAAAAACATCCTAGTAGAAAGGGCTTTACAGAGAGTCCTCCAGGGGCTTACTGAAGCTCTAATCAGAGAACTTCAAAAGTGGATGGGAAGATTCAGTGCACATTCTACTGAATGAAGGTTTACTTTACCAGTCAAATGAGGAGTGAGTGGATTGGACACCTTTCTAATTTACCACTGCTCCTTTTCTTTTTTTTTTTTTTTTAAGATCTATTTATTTATTAGAGAGAGAGAGAAAAAAAGCAGGGGGAGAGGGAAAGAGAGTCTCAAGCAGAATCCACTCTGAGCACAGAGCCCAACATGGGGCTTGATCTCACGACCCTGAGATCATGAGCTGAGCCAAAACCAAGAGTCAGATGCTTAACCGACTGCCCTACCCAGGCGCACCTGCTGCTGCTCCTTTTAACAAAGTGGGGAAGGAGCATTTTAGTAGAGAAGCAAATGTAAAAATTAAACCACGGACTATTGTGTGGACTCTTTTTAAAAAGATTATTGCCTGGACCAAACACAGATCAACTAAGAGATCAATTAAAAAAAAAAAAAAAACCCAAATTAGGGAAAATCATTTTAGTCCTGATAGAGTGATTACATATTGAGTAAAAAATGAATATCTAGATACTTAAATAATCATTAAATTTCAAAAAGTAATAATTAATAAAAATCTTGTCTCAGGGAGCCTGGGTGGCTCAGTCAGTTGGGCGTCTGCCTTTGACTCAGGTCATGATCCCAAGGTCCCAGGATGAAGCCTGGTGTAGGGCTCCCTGCTCAGTGGGTAATCTGCTTCTCCCTCTGCCTGCCACTTCCCTTGCTTGTGCTTGCTCGCTCGCTCTCTCAAATAATAAATAAAATCTTTAAAAAATCATGGCTCTTTTGCTACTTCACTTCTCTACAATCATGCTCATTGTAGTGATCTTATTTAACCAGAAACTAAAAGGTTTACTCTTTTATTCTTTTAGTCTAAATAAAGCTTTTGTCTAAATAAAGGTTTTACTCTTTTAGTCTAAATAAACTAAAAAAATACAAGGTTTATCTCTACTTCCAAATACAATTACAAGGTTACAAACAATTTTTGGCTTATATTAAAGAGTTCTGTACAGATAATTTCATTCAGTCTTACGAGTAATTTAATTTCTGTACATGTATAATATATGCACATATTACACACATCAACAGATATTAGCAAATATCTGAATTTGTTACTTTGAACATCTGAACATATTCTCTGAATGAAATTTAAATGCAGTATTTTTTAGAACTATTTTTTAGAAAAAATAAAATATTAACAAAAAAATTTCTTGATGATTCATATGCTCTGAGATCTGAAGCGACATTGTAAACCAAACAGTAAAGAAAGTAAGTTCATAATGATTTACAGTGAATAGGTAACTTACGAGTAACTCGAATTTCTAAATGTATGAAGATTATATGTGTAAAAATACAAATTGACATCGATATACAAGACTTCTGAGTAGTAAACCATGATAAGGTTTGTTTTATCCAATGACATATGAAGGGATATTTTGGTTGTTTGTGATTTTTTTAAAAAATAAAGTTGCTATATATAGTTTTTTTTCTGTGGCTCTTAGGTGATTTCAGAATATTTATAAAATGTATTATGAAGTGAAAAAAAAGGCATGCAAAATAGGATATAATTTAGGCTCCCATCCATGTGCAAAAACCACTACTAAGGGTAACATAGATGTGGCAAGGGGAAGTTGGAGACATTTGGGCATTTTCTCTAAGACCAGCACTTTTTAAACAAAATTGTCTATTTGACACTACTTCCTCTAATTCTGTATTCACTCTTTTTCCCATTATTGTTCCTTGAGGAGACATTGTAGATGCTTTTTTCCTAATAGCTCCCTTTCTCCATGATGTTATAATACCATAGATATGTGGGATACCTGTTTATGTACTCTATGTGTAATTGCTTTATGGATAAAAGGTATAAGATTTTTCACCAAAAAACAAACAAACAAACAATTTTCACCCTCTGGTGGTCATACCAATGCTCTGCTGAGAGTATCTGAGGTAAGGTAATGAAAACACATCAGTGAAAATCAGTGTGGTCTGTATGACTGGAGCAGAAGTGGTAGGTAGCCAATGACTGACACCTTTAAAATATTTTTGCTCCCTTTCCAAACAATGGCACAGAGTCAAATTTCAGGACTGCTCCCTTACGTTAAAATTTGGTTGCTCCTATGTGTGTGTGCGTGTGCGTGTGTACGTGTGCACATACGTGCAAGTCTTTGCAAGTGTGTACTACATATCTGTATTCATGGCTATAGAAACAGATCAATGTTGAAAGGAAATACAAGAAACTAACAATCGAACATTACATGGCCATAAAAAAGGATGAGATTGTGCCTTTTGAGACAACATAAATGGACCTTGAGTTATGCTAAGTGAAACACAAATGAGAGAAAAGAGAAAAGCAAATGGCGTATGGTTCCACTTATAAATGAAATCTGAAAAAAAAAAAAAATGAACAAGCAAAAAGCAGAACCAGAACTATAAATATAGAGAATGAACTGATGGGGGCCAGAGGGGAAGCAGGTGGACAAATAGGTGAAGGGGAGAGGGAGACACAGGCCTCAGTTCATGGAATGAGTAAATCATGGGAACAGAAAACAGAGCATAAGGAATACTGTTAATGATATTGTAATAGTGAGGTAATGGAAAAGATGGTCACCAATTCTTGCAGTGAATGTAGCATAATATACAAATTTGTCAAATCACTAAGCTGCACACCTGAAACCAATGTCACATCATGTGTCAACTATTACCCCCACCCCAACAACTATATTTAGGAAGGGTATCTGAGGGAAAAACAAATATATATTTTTTATTATATAGTTTTTTTAGTTTCAGTTTTCCTTTTTAACACCATATGCATGTAATGCTTTTTAAATGGCAACAGTTTAAAAAATACTGTAAAAGCCCCAATTCCATAATGTAGAGAGAATGTTTATTATGCTAATAACTGCATATATAAATTCATGCGAGAGACATTTACACAATAAAGTAAAATCCTGACGAATCATTAAAGACATCTGCAAATATCTTGGTTATCCAAGGCATAAGGCCTGTCACTGAGCCTTCCTCATTGCAGATAAACCCAACCCAGTGTGTTTTTGACACTTACATTTGACATTTACACTGTCATATGTCCTCTTGGTAAAGATTCAGGAACCCAGATAGAGTATTTTATACTATTATTCATCCAGCCTATAGTATAAAATTTATAGCTGCTTCTGAACTATTTAAGACTTATTCTTAGATGTAAACTATAGCTTAAATAATTCTGTTCTCTTCCAGTATTGCCCAAAAATTCTCTAAAACTATGAGTTTTAACAATCCCCAGACAACATCTATAAAAATAAATACACACAATCCCAAATGAATCTGATTCTCCCAAAGTTGAGAAGATAAAACCCCTTCAAACACACTGCTAAAATGAATCTACGGTGAGTGAAATTACTTACTTAAATGCTGTGGAAGTTATATTACACAATACTTTTTATCCTTAAAATCCCTCTTAATCAAGTCCTACACTGTGGGACTACACCTGCGCTCTCTTGCTATGTCCTGCTTTGTCCAGGACGTAGAAAAACCTCAATGGAGAGTAGGGATTGGTGAGGCAGATGAAGGTCCCAAAGCTACACCATCCAACTGAGCAGATTAATGTTGAATGGATGTGACAGGACATACGGCAAAACAGCGGGAGCTTCCTTACTCCTCACTGCTGCTCCTGACACTATGCTGCTTAGGACCAGGCACAATGCCACACATTCCCCTGTACTATTCTGCACCTGTTCTCAGGACTCCCTGGCACACTGAAAGATATCCAATAAATGTTAATATTATTGATGGTCTTTGTTGGCATCCTTTTTGCCATTCTCAATGGGTCAAACTGTTGTGAGAAGGCTGCCAAAATTTTTAAGAGAACTATCTCTCATTTACAGTATTGCTCGGATACCCAAATTTGGACCTAATTTTGGGTGGGGGGTGGGATTTAATTGGATGCTTAACTAATTGCCCAGTAAATTGCACTGAAGAAGTCAGGGCACAAAGAATTTTTTATCTTCCAAAGTTAATAGCTATCAACGCCCAACCGTATGGTGGCTTGAAAAAAAAAAAAAAATCTAAGGAGAGTAATAAAAATAAAACATAAGAAAAGAGATAACCCTTGAAACTGTTACTAATATTTCCAACTTTAGAAGAAATAAAAATTAACTATGTCAATTAGGGTTTACATTTCATTACTCAGTGTGCAGGAAAGTTTACTTTTATATGAGTGACTGAAGACTGTTTTGGGACATTTAGAATTTGCAAAATTATCCCATTTACTACATACAAATCTGTTTTAATATATCAAAAAAGAATAAAAAGTGACTTACATTTGCTGAAAGTTGAGATGTGAGGGTAGCAACTTTTTCTTGTGATGCAACCAGTTCTCGCCGCAGTTTGTGGATTTGCTGAGTGTAATTTAAAAAGATCAGTTCAATAAGCTAGATTTTTCCTTAAAACTAAGAATTCAATCCAAGAAAGCAAATACTACATTTCGCTCATGCAACCTCTTAATTAGTGTATCAGTACTAATTCCTGAAAAGCCAAAGAAATGCGAACACTAGCTATATATATATAGTAACAGTCAAATGCCACGTGTCAGGAGAGGTAAGTGACTATGTTCAAGGTTAGGACTCAAATGTGCGTATTAAAGGATGCTTGCTTGCTCCATGGTTCCACTTGCCTGGCTCTAGAATCACTTGACTTTCTCTGTTGATTCTTCTAGTTCTGGGAATTAGTGATAATAAAACTCAGGCAGTAAAATATTTTCTTTTTAAAAACTAAATATACACGTACACATTTCTTCTAGGTCTTCTTTTAGCAAAAAGTACTGAATATTCTAGCATGGTGTTTAGCATGGAGTTTTAGCAAAAAAAAAAAATTCAGTTTTTTTTGATGCATGCTTATTTTAATTTTCTGTAGTTTGGCAACTTCTCAGAAGCTGTAGACTATCCTGGAGTCACTGAAAGTTGGCTTATTTCCAGATATATTGAGTCCGTATTTGAAAATAATTTTATTAGGTAGAGTTTCAATGACTAACACTCAGAGAAGCCTTCCCAAATCTTTATTATAATTCCTGTTATTCATTGAGTTACTATTAATTCAGAGAAGAAATGCTTTATAGATTACCTATAGTTTAAAACTGAGGGGGAATTTAGTAATACTGTTCAAATAATTAGATAAGCCAACAAAATAAATATGCTAGTTGCCTTCCTTTTTAGCTAAGTTCACAGTAGAATAAAATTGAACCAAATAAAGGTAATATTTCATATCGCATTTAAATGGTTAATATAAGCACTTTCTGCAAATAAATCTGCATGCCTCCTGTTGCTGAGACATGTAAACACAGATTAGTAAGGGTAAAACATCAACTACCGTCTGAGGCTAAATCTATAAGTAGACTTCTGGTCTCAAACATTCTTAGTTACTTAGATGCCAAACATTGCACTCTAATTCTTCTCATTTCTGCAAAAAGAAGTCTCTGTTGCCGTGGGGGACTTTTGGGATACTGTCTCAGTTTGAAAGAGCACTCCTGACATAGTTCATTAACTGTCTTTTTTTTCTTCCCCCCTCTTTTGTGGAAAAGAAATGGTAGTCAACATTGAGGAACTCAAAGAAAGTTGTGGACTTTAAGCTGGAAGCAGAGACTGTGGACACTTGTATAATTTCACCAAATGTGAATCCATTTTGTTCCTGGTTTTTTTTTAAAAGGAGGTACACTAGCCCCAAATAGGACTTGACTTGCATTTGAATGATGACCACAGATAGTCCCAGAAAACAGACCATCTATTTTATCTTAAACCAATACAAATCCAAAGAGCCTTTCTCAAATTAATAGTATCTATTATAAGATCCTTTACAATGTAATCTAGGCAACCTTTTAATAATGTAAATTATTTTTAAAAAACCATGACCCATTAAGGGGAGGCATGATACAAGGCGAGGTCAGAGAAGTACTAATCAGGCAAATAGGCAACATTTGAATACCTCAGTAACCATATTATAACCAAATTAGAAGTGTCCTGTCCATGTAAATAAAATAATCTAGGGTTTTTTTCCCTAAACATATTCACTTTTTTGTATAGCAATTATAAAGATCAAATTGCTATAATCAATACTATTTTGATATTTTTAAACACAGCACAAATTTTACATAAAGCAAAGTAAGGCAAGGAGTTCCTTTGCAAAGGCTACTGCCAAGACACTGATTTTCTCTGTGGTCTGATTGCCTCAGTGTAAGCCAATCAAATAGTCATTACCACACCTTGAATAAAGGCCTAATTAAAGTCCTGCTCTCATTGGGTAGGACAATTATTTCACGAAGGGAAATAAAAAGAATATTCTCTCCGGGTTGCAATCTGATTCATACATGATTGTGACAAAGTATTTGTGAAATGTGTGTGATTAGTTCCATATACCACACTAGACATAAAGTGGCTATTAGAGAAGCCAAGTTCTGGCATGAAAACAGATGGGCTGGGATGCTGGTAGCTTCTATTGTGGAGGTCTGGTGCCCAAGATTCAACAGTTTCATTAATCCTAAGCAGTTAATCTCATAGGCGCTGGGGAAAAGGGACTACAATAAATGTGCAAGACCACACATTCATTCATTCAGCAGACTCAATGAGTGCTTAGTACTACAGACAATTTGTTAGTTGTTGATCTCAAACTCCATTCTAGAATGTGAGAGGAGGGCTTGCTTTTAAAAACTTCCTTTCATTTTCTTTATGAGGAAATGCCAAAGACCATTTGACAACTAGAGCATCGCTTCCATCAGCAGCACGGGAGAGCTATGCTACTGTATCATAGAGCCCTCCAGTGGTGGAAACATTCATTTCATCACAAATGTAAACAAAGGGTCAAATACAAGCATGCTACAAACTTTACCTCTGAATGAGCTTTTTCTTCAGCCTGTAAAAGACAAAAGGTAAAAAATTATCTATAAATAACTAATGTTATTTTGTCCCACAAGTATAAATGAATCATTCCATTGTATAATTAAGATACTATGATCCAACATAAGACTAGTAAAATACATACAGTAGTAAAATACATGTTATTTTATATTATTATCAAAGCATTATTATCAATACTTATATTGTATTTATACATTATAATTATGATGGTATTATTATATTATCATTATGATAGGAACCTTTAGGATTGCAAATTAATGCTTCCTTATATATAAATGATATATTGAAAATGTAGGTCATTTGATTCATGGATATATAACATGCCTTAAAAGCAAAGTTGGAATTAAAGATGATGTTACTCTAAGATTCAGTCTATAAGAAACAAAAACAAAAGTAGTTATAAAACTATACTCTAAAAAAGGAAACATCAGATTTTTTTCATACATATAATAGAAAATGCACTCCATGATATTAGGGAGATCTTCAGCCAAGACTTGGGAGTCAGAATTTCACTCTGTGATTTACATATCATAAAAAAAAAAAGCCAAATAAAGCTGGAGAGAACATATTAACCTCTACTGATAGCCACAGAAAATCAGTTCATTAGTTTCTATCTTCTTTCACTGTCCCTAATGATGATTCATTAAGTTTACTGAGCTGCAAGTCAGCAAAACAGTAAAATGCTCAGTGTCAAGATGGTGATAAAAGTGGCTGGCAAACATCTTGGGTCATACACATTATGGCAATGAGGACTGCTGGAGGAACTTGCAGGCTGTTTTGGACTCAGTTGCAGAAAATTCCTAGCTCTGTTTTTCTTCTTTGTGCTGGGCTGCAAAATGCCAGAAAATGAGTTATGTGCACCATTACATTTGGGAAGCTCCCTTACTCTGGAAAAAGCTGGAGAATGAAAATATCGCTGAACACTGCAAATCTGCCTGCTCCCTTGAGCCATTTCAAAGCAAAAAAAAAAAAAAAAAAAAAACCTTCTTATCTCCTATCTCTCCTTTGGGGATATTTCCTGGTTAACTGATGCAGAAGTACCTGAACTACTTTTTATTCTCCCCCCACTTTTTTTCTACAGAAAACATAAAATAAAACAAAGGAAAATAAATAAAAAGATATTTTTATGCATAAGTATTTCTTGAGTGTTCTCTTTCCTATATTTTCTCTACTCTTAAAAATAATGTATAGTTAATAATATAGTATTTAAATAATAGAGTAGTTAAACAGTAGAATCCTAATAGCCTTTATAAGGAAACTGTTTTAAAAATCAATGCTAGGGGCACCAGGGTGACTCAGTGGGTTAAGCCACTGCCTTTGGCTAAGGTCATGATCTCAGGGTCCTGGGATTGAGCCCCTACATCGGGGCTTTCTGCTCAGCAGGGAGCCTGCTTCCTCCTCTCTCTCTCTGCCTGCCTCTCTGCCTACTTGTGATCTCTCTTTGTCAAGTAAATAAATAAAATCTTTAAAATAAAATAAAATAAAATAAAAATAAAAATCAAGAAAAATCAATGCTAACATAAGACTTGAATATTTTACCTCCCAACTTTAATTTTTAAAGGAAGATTAATTTTTTTAATTCTAATAATTTTAAGGTTTTAGATACAGTTTGTTTCTAAATCAGAAGTAGAGAACTCATTTTAAGATAGAAATTTCATCTTAAAGCCAAAGAAAGCTGTAAGTTGTTTGCCTTAAGACATATGGTACAATTAACTGTGACTCTTTGTTTTCCCTAGAACTTCACATGTTTATTGCCACTATATTCTGCCCAAATCCTGCTCCAAGTCCCACTAGGATTATATAAAACTGATAATAAATAATTTGTATGTTTAAAAAAAAAAGCAATGTATTCTACTTAACAAAAAAGTTAAGAAGATATCATATTTTCTCATTAAAATAGCCTCAAGTAAGTTATATATACTACCCATAAGCATAACCATTATATATTAATTCTATAGGTATTATATATAATAATGACTTTTCTTGTCCCTGTGCTTTCAGAACTATCTTTTTCCTTAATCTTTCCCTCTGTTCATACCCCATGGCTATTAATACTAGGTAAGGTGTTATCATCAAGCTGAAGCGGTGTGGCAGGATATTAACATTATGTTTCTTTCAGCGATATAGGCTTGGGATTAATGATGATGGAATGTGATTACTTGCCATTTTTAAATGATGGTTTTGAACCAAGCCCAATGTCCTGAAGGATGGTAGACAGTATAAAACATTTTGCCTAAATAAAAATACATCAGATGATTCTTTATTCCATAAACCATTAATTGGCCAATCATTAACCCATTCAAAGTTACTAAAAAAAAAAAATTTCCTTCAGCATTAGCTGTGTATTAAGAAATATGTTAATGAACCAAATATAGCCCCTGCTCTTATTACTATAAATTAGATTCCAAGTACAAAACAGATTCAATAAAGTTTTTAGTATATAATCAGTCAGAAAGAACCTATTTACTGTAAGGATCAAAGGGTCAGGAATATAAAGAATAAAAAAAAGAGCTCTAAAATTAAAAAGAAAAATCACACAGCCTTCCTCAGCCTATTTTCCCCACTTTCCATAGAGCTATGGATAATAAGGAGTAGGTCTTTCCTATGAGAAAAGCAACAGCACAGTCATAACTAAGAACCTAAACTGAGTAAGAAAAGAGGCGGCAGAGGCAGGAACCAGCCTGAGAAGACAGGCCAGCATCTAAAGGGGGAGATGCCAAGTGACGGTAAACCTGGAGGAATTTAACCTCAGTGTTGCTCCATATTCTGATTACATTAAAAGAATTTAGCAATTTGCATTTTTAGATAAAAGCTCCAGATTTCACAGTGTTGGCCTGGATATAAACACAAGCACACAAACTCTTAAGTTTGCCAAAGGTAACAACTTGGCAGATGAAATTAGGCCTGTGATTTCCAAACAATATGCAAATTCCTGCAATCTTTCTGCTCAGAATTCTGTAAGGTGATATACTCAACTTTATAACAAGATACTCTGGAAAATTTACCGAAGCGTTAATGACAGAAGCTTTAAAAGATCTAGAGGGGGAAAGTCCTTCCAACGAGATTTGTTAGATTGATGACTTTATAGGTAAATGTTCTTTGCAACAAGCCATCGTTATTAGATTTATTATCTCTAAGTGAAATACATACAGCAAATATATAATTCTATAAGCTATATACATGATGTTAGAGTAAACAAGGTTGATACTCATGGTTCATAAAAACAGTATTTTGCCTAATAAGAGCAGATAGAGCTTAATATTCTTTTTTTTTTAAATTTAGAATGTTGTTAAGTTCAGAATTTTTTTTAAAAGATTTTATTTATTTATTTGTCAGTATGAGAGAGAGGGTGCACAAGCAGTGGGAGGGGCAGGCGGAGGGAGAATCAAGTTTCCCACTGAGCAAGGAGCCTGGTGGGCTTAATTCTAAGACTCTGGGATCATGACCTAAATCAAAGGTAGATGCTAGCCGACTGAGCCAGCCAGGCGTCCTGAGCCTAATATTCTTCTTTTAACCAAAAAAAAAAAAAAAGGACTTTTCTCCCCATAGACACTTAAATTATTTTATGAAGGAACGCCATGCAGTTGTGTTAGCTATATACTGCAGAACTTCAAAAGATGCAATGCACATAGACTATGATATAAACAGTGCTCTTAGAACCATGTAGGACACCATAATTTTTATAATTTATGGTATATAATATTTATTTCTTATCATTTTTATAATTAATTTTAATTTATAATATTAATTTTTATAATTATGGCATACAATATTCCTGGTCTTCTCTAATAATTATGTGAGACCCACGGGATAGATGGGATAGGCCTGGAGGTTGTTTTCCAATTTTATTTTACAGGTATAGTCCAGAGAAACTTAGCAGTCTGCCTGATGTCACACAACAGCCGCTGATAGAGTTAGGCAAGAATGAAAATCAAATGAATCTTGATCCACAGTCTTTAAAGGTGTGAAAAATAGTGATAAAATTGCCTTTTGCCTTCATGGTTTAAAAAGCACTTTCACAGATATCTTGTCATTGCCAGGGAATCTCAGTGCATGATAATGGGGTACGGAAGTCAAAATGACTCCTCATTATCTCTGATTTTTCTCTTTATCAGTCCTCCAAATACACATTTATTTGAACTGTTCAACTCTAGATTATTTATGAATTCAAGAATATAATTTCTATCATTTTCTGTACAGCTATTTGAATTCCCTAATATCCTAAAAATCACCTTCTCACGTGGTTTGATCACCTAATCCATTCTTTTCACACATAACACAAGGGTATTTTCATTTCTAAATTTTGGCATAAACGTATACATATATAGTCACTTTATTTTAATCTCTGTTCCCATTTTGTATCATGATACTACAATATTTCTCACTTATGGTTTCTGATTGACATCTGCTCTTATTTATTTATTTAGGTGGGGAGAAAATCTTTTTTTTTAGACTTTTTTTTTTTAAAGATTATTTATTTATTTGATAGAGATCACAAGTAGTCAGAGAGGAAGGTAGAGAGAGAGGAGGAAGCAGGCTCCCTGCTGAGCAGAGAGCCTGATGCGGGGCTCGATCCCAGGTCCTGGGATCATGACCTGAGCCAAAGGCAGAGGCCTTAACACACTGAGCCACCCAGGTGCCCCTTAAGACTTTTATTTATTTGCCAGAGAGAGACACAGCGAGAGAGGGAACACAAACAGAGTGGGAGAGGGAGGAGCAGGCTTTCCAGTGAGCAGAGAGCCCCTTTTGGGCTCCAACCCAGGATGCTGGGGTTGTGAAGAAGGCAGATGTTTAATAACTGAGCCACCCAGGTGCCCCAAGGGAGAGAGACAATCTCAAGAAGGCTCCATTCCCAGCATGGAACCCAATGTGGGGCTCGATCTCACAATCCTGAGATCATGACCGGAGCCAAAACCAAGAGTCAGATGGTTTTTACAGTTTCTATAGTTTTTTAAATGTCCCTCCTCTGTTCCCTATAAACCTGCAATATCCAATATAATAGCTACTAGGCACATGTGCCTATTGAAAGTTAAATTAATGAAACTTAAAAATTCAGTTCCTCCATCACACAAGAGACACTCACTGCAAATACTCAACAGCCACATGTGGCCAGAGGTTACTGTATTAGTGCAATGACAGAGCATTTTTATTATCACAAAGTTTTCTAGTGGACTCTGGTTACATACTAATTGGCCATTTGTCTTCCCTTAAACCATGCTCCTTTTCTTCTTGAGTGTTTCTCAGGCTGAATGAAGGTAATTTTGTCCAAATACTATTTTTACACGTATTTAAAATATTTAATCAATCTGCATCTTTTTTAAAAAAAAAATTATTTACTCATTTGAGAGGGAGAAAGAGCACGAGTGGAGGGAAGAGGCAGAGGGGAAAGCAGACTCCTCACTGCGCAGGGACCCTGACATGGAGCTTGATCCCAGGACCCTGGGATCATGACCTGAGCCAAAGGCTGAAGCTTCACCCTCTGAGCCACCCAGGCGCCCCTCATGCTGCATCTTTTGATGTTAAGCAGAGACTTCAACCACAGTGGTTTAAGTCAGAGCTCATCCCCCAACAAGCAGTGGCACTGGGCCAATTAGGAGGGACACTCAGTGTTAACACATTTCTTTTATCTGTTTTTTTCCAAAACATTTCACCTTTCTCACTTCTTATCCATTTGCCAAAGCAGTAAATTTAAATAACAATAGTGATTTTTCCATTTATAGAGTGTAATTGGCAAATTAAAAGGAGAAATGATGAGAAAAATATTGTCTTTCCCAACAGTAGTCTGATCTTGAGTAACTATCCAAAGCAGTAACTATGCAAGATGAGCTTCTAAAAGGAGGGCCCTAATATTGAAACCTAATGAAATGAGTAAAACAATTAGTATTGCCCATCACGCTTAATTGGTCAATGACAGCAAAGACTGAACTTTTTATGAACCTTTCAGTACTGGATTAAGGATTATTCACTGTGCTCAAGTCCCAGTGAAATTCAGTAAACTAAATAGATCTCACTCTTGGGATGCCTTGGGTGGCTTAGTCAGTTAAGCATCTGCCTTCGGCTTAGACCACGATCCCAGGGTCCTGGGCTCGAGTCCTGCTTCAGGCTCCTTGCTCAGTGGGGAACCTGCCTCTCCCTCTCCCCGCTGCTCCCCCTGCTTGTGCTCTCTCTCTGACAAATAAATAAAATCTTCAAAATAAATAAGTAGACATCACTCTTATAAAGAAAATACCATAGGACCATCACCAGTCATGGCTCAGAGATCTGAACAAGGAAAACTAGTCAATATCATAAATTTATGGTACAGCCCAGTACATGGGTTCAGGGATTCCCAGTCATACCCCAATAGGTTTTACGAGATTCAGTTTTTCATGCACTCATTGATTTTCCTAAGTACACAAAAGTCAAGTGAAGGCATATCTAAGTGGGCCAAAGAGGGGCTGGCCCAGCGGCACCTGTCAGTGGATGGGGTATGAGGTCGTTCAGCACAGACCCTTATCTCACCATGTAACTTCTGTGTCAATATCAATCTACTGAATCATCTGTGTGCTTGGAAACAGTAGAAGCTTTCTTTTCACAGCGGATACTTACTGTTGAGTAAAGAGAAGAAGTGCTGGAGACCAGTGATAATGAAGAACCGTGAACTGGAAAAAGCAAAAAAGAACAAGAGGTGATATAATGAAGTCAGCTCAGAACCAGCAGGTCTTTGATGGAGAGTGGAGAATAGAGAGGCGGGGAAGTAAAATAATAACAGCTAGATCTAAGAATCGGAGGGCAATTCTGTTGTTATTTTTTTGAGGTCAAATTGTTGAGACATGGGAAGGTCCCACACCTGTCCCCCTAAAATACCTCCTTCATCACGTTAGAGAGGATTGGACAAACACAAGCCCTTTGAGAAGACTGTGGGTTTATTTAAAGTTATAGTAAACTTTCACAGAATAAATAACCAGAAAATAGTGGAAATCTAAAATAAAGTTGCCAAAAATTTTTAAACTTAAAAAAAAAAAAAAGCTTTATGTGTTTTATTTATTTATTTCATTTTTATACAACAGAGATCCATTTTCACTGTTTTCACTGTATGCTTTCAGGGGAAGAAGCATTTTATTGAACTTGCTATTTCAACATTATCTGTGATGAGTTGATTACGCTCTTTTAAATGGAAAATTATTGTTTCTTTTGTACTTCTAATCATAGAAAAAATGCTTATTTCAAGGTGGTGTCTCACTGAAATTAAGAATGGAAATTGCATACTGTCTTTTACTGAGGTATACCAAAATACCATTTTAAACAATTGATAGACTGTTTTATATTTCTGCACATCTGATGTGTTAAGCCCAAAGGGTGGTAAAAGTGTGCTTAATTATATTTGTAGAAAAGTCCTTCCTCTTTTCACTGTGGGGTAAATTTATTTCTGAATATTCATCCATTCAACAAACATTAGTTGGGCCCACCCAACGTGACAGGCCCTTCCTAGTTTCTGGGACTATAAAAATGATGACACAATCCTAGGAGCTTAAAAAAAAAAAAAAAAGCAGAAAGGTATACAACTAAGAAGATAATTACAATAGAGTAAAAAATACTCTCTAGTACTATAAGGGTATGTGGGAGATGCTCGCAAGCTGGTCTGGAGGCGATTGGGAAAACTGTGTAGGATTGTGGCAGTGTGTCTCAAAAGATAGGGATGAATTTAAGGGACACCAGGAAGAACCTCTTTAAAACTGACTTCATATAAACATGTGGTCAAAAGAGCAATGAAGGACAACTCCCAGATATCTTGCTCAAGCAACTATCACCACTCTGTGAGGTGGGCAAAATGTTAGTCATCTAAAGAACACAATACAAATACAATTCCACATTCTTTCAACCTCCAACAACAGTATGCACTAAGTATGCACCAGAATGCACTAAGATTTTTGGCACGGTGTGCAGAAGGCAGGTGGACAATGAATCGGGAGATCCCATTTCTGATCTGTTGCTGCTACTTGCTATTTATGGGTCTATAACCTCCTAGTGTGTGGCTGTTTCTTTATCTTCACGGTGATCATTGAGCAGAGAGGGCATCAGTAAAGCCCCTTCCACTTCACTAGTTCAATAATCCCTTGATTGTAGACCACAATGTAAGAATTAAAATAGTTCAGTGTTCAGTGTATGGGCATCAGAAAGCCATCTTACCCACTGGTGTTCAGTAATTGAGATTATTTAAACCTCGTACACAGAAGGCCAGACTTTCCCAAGCATATGAAGAGCATTCCATCTGTAAACGAGGCACTCTAGAAGAGCCATCAGTATGCATAGCAAATTATTTTTACGGTATTATAAGATGCCAGTCTGTGAAGACAGTGATAGAACCATCTCAAAAAAGCAATGACTTTACATTTCCAATTAGTCCCATTTTGTCCATCTAGTCTGCCACAATCAGTAGACTCTCAGGGTGTAATCTACTGTCACAATGAACTCAGTTGTTCAGTTAATATCCCAAAAGGTAGTGGCAATAATGGTCAACCAATTTAGTGTCAGCAGATTAAATGGACAGTAGTGGCCTGAACACATGAAATCAATGCTCATAGCTATCTAAACTTTGAATCAGAAGAGCCTTTAAGAAAGTAGGAAGGAGAAAGAGAAAGGAACAGAACTACTCCCTCATTTCATTTTCATGACAAATCTGTGAGATTACAGATGCAGGAATTAGCACTACTGATTGATAAAGTTAAGAAATTGGCTGAAGTTCAGACCACAAATAAATGGATGACCAGAGGCTTAAAACTTGATATATTTCAGGATCTGGAGTTCTTTCTTTTATATATAATCATTAAAGACTAGGATAGTTAGCTGATTTCATATTTGATTTTGTTCTTTTTTAAAATTTAATTTAATTTTATTTATATTCAATTAATATATAATGGATTATTAGTTTCAGAGGTAGAGGTCAGTGATTCTTCAGTTGTATTTAACACTCAGTGCTCATTACATGACGTGCCCTCCTTAATGCCCTTCACCCAGTTACCCCATTCCCTTCAGCAGCTCTGTTTGTTTCCTATGGTTAAAAGTCTCTTATGGTTTTTCTCCTTCTCTGATTATGTCTTGTTTTATTTTTCCCGCCCTTCTCCTATGCTCCTCTGGTTTGTCTCTAAAATTCCACATACGAGTGAGATCGTATGATAATTATCTTCCTTCGATTGGCTTATTTTGCTTAGCTTAATACCCTCTAGTTTCATCGACATCCTTGCAGATGGCAAGCAATTGCACTCCTAGGTATTTACCCCAAAGATAAAAATGTCTGATTTTATTCTGATCAATTTAAACTTTTATGTTTACCTTTATTTTATTCTCAGCTGATATGGGTTTTAGAGTATGTGTGCCACAATTTTTCTTTATGGATACTTTTAAAAATCATTCATTAAATTGAAGAAGAAAATCTCTCAAATATTAATTATCAAATTTCACACCTGCATTTATATAGTTTAAAAAAATAACATACATTTGAACATCAATTAAGTCTCCTGAGTTTTTTGAATAGAACTATTATAAAGTATTCACACAGAACCTTATTACATTGGATAAGAAAATGAAACTTAGAAGACACAAAGTAGACATGATATGAATTCTATTATGATATGATAACAAGAACCAACACCAGAGGGAGCTTCTGAGAATACAAGCTGGCAATGTGTGGTAGTTTCGTAAGGTAATTTTTCTGGTTCATGTATCTTTATGATTCTTTAACCGAGATGTCAAACAAAACTGGCTCTGATATTGGACACACCAGAGCAAACAGTCTCTAAAATAATGAGGATTTCTGTATGAGAATACCGTATTTGTTCTGAACTGTTCTATAACCAAGTATTAAGCTACACAATTTCTGGCATATTCCCAAATGCATAAAGAAACAGAAGGTAATGCAGACTAAAACCTCTTCAAGCTTCAGGGCTCCCTAAATGAGAGTTATACTTAACTCATTTATTTACTCTTCAGGAATCCTTGTGATGGTGACTGATGTGACAGTTTTCATCTCTGAGTTAAATAAAGGAACTCCATCTTTATTTCCCCCTACGCCTACCTTCTTCCATGCTGTCTCGAAATGAGCCTGAATGACTGATGGCACGTGGCCTTTCTTCCAGAGACGTGGCACTCCCACAAAGCTGGGAGTCATCGTAGAGATCGAAGGAAGAGTCTTGGGCTGGGATGCTATTTGAACGCATCATGCTGGGCCCAGGAAGGTTAAATTGAGACAGATTGGTTGGGCTCACTGAAAAACAAAGCACACATAGACTCATTATTCTGGGGCTTGGATGATGAAAACAGTTGGCTGCTGGAAAGTGAGAATGTGATCCCAATTCTATGGAAATGTGCATTTAATGGGTGTCTCTATTGAAGGTAGGCTGACAGTCTGCCCCTGAAATGTTCAATAACAGTTTCAGGAGAGTCCCTCTTTTCTCTAACACTTTCAAGGCCAGCAGTATGTCAATTTCTAAAGCAATATTAAACAAAGCTGCCAAGCAACCCCTTTTGTTCATGCTAGAAATACAACAGCATGGTATATCCTGCTGGAGATTATGAAGAAAAGATTCCCTGCTAGGCTCTGTAGGTTTCTTTTCAAGAAGAATACACCTCTTTAATGGAAAAAAACAAAATCGAAAAGAAAACACAAGAAACCCAAATGTCCCACGAAGACCCTTTTGAAGCTTCCAGACAAAGACTTTCATCATTCTGAGTTCTGAATTTATATAAGTCCACGATCAGCACCATCATTATTATCATAGTTAGTTATAAAAGAATATGAAATTTTTCTTTAAATGAAATGTAATCTATGTGGTTTATAGCTTATCGTCAGGTTAACCTCACTGAACTCTACTACTGCATCTAAGACCAGAGTCCAGAAGGAAGACTGTCTAATGTCACAAACCTGTTGTGTTTCCCAAGAAGTACCTCATGTTCATAATTTGAAACAAGAATTTATTTACTTAGGGTTCATTGCCAAAGAGTTCTAATAACACTCAGCTTTTTATGCCCACTGATAATTATGAATTTAAAGAAAGATGTGGTTGACTGAAAGTACAGCTGCTTCAGAAGCAATACCATCTTAAAATGTGGAACAAAAGCAAAGCACAAAATTGGGAAAGATATTTAACACAAATGTTCATATTTAAGAAAAGTAAGTTGTTACAGAAATGTGAGTAGGCAGGCAGGAACCACTTACGCAATCAGAAAACATGTGGGTACTTTCAAAAACTTAGGGAATGCACGTCACTGGTTTAGAATGAGTGATTATCATTTCAAAATTTGCTATTTTTTTCTTTGACATGGGAATTACATTTCTTTTTAATATAATGACTGGCTTTCAAAATAATGTAAAATAAGAGGCATATATACTGTGAAGCAAATGAAAGGGAATATTTTCTATTTTCCAGACACTATGCTGGCTGTTTTAAAGGTTTTGATGAATTCATACACACAACAACATTCTGATAGAGTGGTTGTGGATTGGAATAAAAAAAGAACAAGAAAAAGGAAAGAAATACAAGATTTAGAATTATATCTGTGTGTGCATATATGAAATACAATAAAAGATGAAAGAAATTGTGAATGTGTAAAGTGTGCAATCTGTTGGAAGGAAGAAAACCCTGAGGGAGGGAAAGAAAGAAGAAAAGAAGGGAGGGTGAGGAAGAGAGAGGGAAAGTGAGGAGAGAGAAAGAGGGAGAATGAGAAGAGAGGGAGAGTGAGGAGAGGAAGGGAGAGAGAGGGGGAGAGGGTGGAGAGAGAGACAGAGAGAGAGTGAGAAAAGAGGAAGAGTGAGGAGAGAGAGAGGGAGAGAGAGAGGGAGAGTGAGAGGAGAGAGAGAGAGAGAGGGGAGAGAGTGAGAGGGAGGGAGAGAGACATCTTTCAGGTACATACCGTCAGCCAGCATTGACTAGTTCAATATGATTGCTAACCAACTGCCAGAAGATGCACCAAAGGACATTCTAGACTTGAATGTTTATGTTTAGAGCACCTGGATTAGAGTAAATCATCCTATTCTATGTCCACAGTATGGACTGTCTCTTTGCTAAATGAATGGAGTATTCAACACATTTGTAAATGTATTATGTTAATATGTATCTAGAAGTTAGAAGGTCATTTCACTCACTATTTGGCTTTGCATAATGGTTGCCGAGCTATCCAAGTAAATTGTCCTTTTATAATTTCAAAACATGTCACTTAAATCTTCCAAGAAATAATGAGGATTAGGGTGTTTTTTTTTTTTTTAATTTGACAGAAAGAGAGAGATCACAAGTAGGCAGAACAGCAGGTTGGGGGTTGGGGAGCAGGCTCCCCGCCAAGCAGAGAGCCCAATGCAGGGCTCAATCCCATGACCCCGAGATGATGACCTGAGCCAAAGGCAGAGGCTTATCCTACTTAGCCACCCAGGGGCCCCAGTAGGGTGAATTTTAAAGTGAAGAGTTTGCATTTACAGTTTTGATAGCTTCTCCACTGAAACTACACCCATGCTATTTAAGAATGTTCAGTTATGTTAATGTCTATGACAGTTCTGCTTTTTGGGGTCAGTGGTTGAATAGAAAGATATATATGGCATGGCCCTAACTTCAACAATGGCTACTAGCAGAGGTGACTGAAAGGAAGAACAATTAATATGTAAATAAACCAAGAAAAATTATACAACAGAGGACAAAAATATGATGGACAAAGAATTTCTGCAATGGTACACAAATTAGCACAGGGATTCTCTACTGGCTTTGCTTTCCATTTGCTTCAGGCGAATGTCTCAATCTCTACCCTTCAGTTTCATCATGAATTACAATTTTTTGAAACAGCAGAATAAATGACCTCCAGACTCATTCAAAGCTTAGAGACACAGCAAGATTTCTAAAAATGAGAGATATAGACATGACCATGTATTAGGGGGAAGGGGTCTGCTGACTTTGTCTTAAATTATATTTCAGAACAAAGACCCTGTTTTTATTAAATTAAATGTTGATTTTGGGGATTTGGGGAGAATGGACCTGATGGAAATATGGAGTGGGTTTTTAAATACCTCAAGGTCTCTCTTTGACTTTGCTACTATATCTAGACATGTTAGCTAGTGAGTTTATGACATTGTTTTAAAATAAGAATATTCATGTGGAACCTTATTTTAACTTATTTTGTGGAATCTGGGACTATCACTAGAAACTAGGTAGCAACTCAAGAAAATTTTATTTGATTTTTTTAAGAGGAAGTTCAAAAGTGTGATATATGTAGATTCAGAAGTTTCTGTCATGGGTGGGTTTAGAGAAGAAGCTAGAGATATCATAAGTATTTAACTAGTAGTTGAATAATTGAACCAGAGGTAGGTGTCTCCTGTCCCTGAGATTCTATACTTTCATGAATATAGAAGAAGAGGGTTAATTCTCAATAGCTTGAAAGGTGAATATGGAGAGAAGAGTAGGAGGGCACTCAAGGTGGAGGAACCCTTGGATGCAAAAGCATAGAAATTTCTCCATAAAGTTGTTTAAACAATACTCTGTATGCAAGAGGATCCAACAAATGTATAGAACTCCTACGTGAGAGGCTGACAGTAATCCTTCTACATACTAACCCCTACCGCAAGGAGAAAATGAGGCTGAGGATCTGTCACTCGTGGGAAGATGACAATAAGTCTCAGCCAGTTATAAGATGCCTTACAAAGACTATGACCGACAGTAAACAAAATTTCAAACAAAGATTATTTTGTTTACATAAGTTATGTTCTGATTTGCTTTCTTGAGTAGAATGGTTTCTATTACAGGGATCATACCAACACCAAGAACTACACACAAATCACAGCTTACTCATGCTACTCTACCAATAATGAGGTAACTGAAGTGATCTTAAATTTCTGTTCATTATATAGGACTTTTTACAGTAATATTTCTAAAAATTTTATGTATTAACAGATTTTAATAAGGAAAAAGGATAAAGAAAACACAGGTATTGTAATTACTACTAAGTAATCACTTGCTGATCATTCAGAAGACATAATGATAAAATTGAAGACAAATGATGACCAAAGTGAACTGCAAGACAATGCTATCCATACTCATTAAAAAATTCTATGATACATTTTTTAAATTTAATAATAAAATAATCTTTAGTTATGATTACATTTTAATAGTACCCACTGTCTTACCTAGTAAATATAAATTCAGGTGATCTGGAAATCAATAAAAGGTTTGTTTGTTTGTTTGTTTTTTAAGATGTATTTGAGAGAGAGAGAGAGCTAGCACATGAGCAAGGGGAGGGGCACAGGGAGAGGGAGAGAGAATCCTAAGCAGACTCTGTGCTGAGTGTGGAGCCCCATACAGGTCTTAATTTCATGACCCTGAGGTCATGACCTGAGCTGAAACCAAGAGTCTGATGCCCAAATGAGCCACCCAGGTACCCCGCAATAAAAAATAAATTTCATGTTTTTAAAATGGGTCATTTTTTCTTTAAAATAACACAGCATAGAGACCTCAGAACACCTGATTTTAAGCCATGTATGCTTATAAAATTTGGATGGGCACATGAGAATGTGTGGACATGTATGGGAAGGTCTTCCTTTCTAAGTCCCAATGGGTGAAAATGTTGATAATGATGGTAGAGGCAGTAAGACCAATTTGAATTACACTGCTATTTTCTGATAACATAAAGCATAGTTTCTGATAAAAATGATGAGGTAACAAGGTCTTTTAAGTCTTATACTCTCTTGGTACACATAAATCAGTCTTGGTACACATAAATCAGTCTCCCATAATAAAACCTAGATATTTTAGATCCATTTCACAGATGAGGAAATTGACCTTGCCAAGGTCAGACATAGTAAGTGGTGAGCATTTTTTTTTTCCAAATAATAATGGAACAGATGGATTTAATCAAAACAATATAAATGCGAAAATAGTGGGGGTAAGAATTCAGTTAGTCAAATTAATGTCAGGTATTGAAAAGATTGACAGGAGACAGAGGGTATCTAGCAAACTCATCATTCCAAGTGGTTTGGTTTTTTTCAAGTTGGTTTGGTTTCAGATGTTGCATAAAATTAGAGTTAATTTCATATTCTTATGAATTTATAAAAAACATTTTCAATTTAGTTTTTGAAGTTAAAATTTTAAGCTTCTTGCTATGTTTTATAATTACAATTATAAGTAAAGGCTATACCATCTGTTTTCATTATGAGGCAAATAAGTGTCTCCCTGTGAAGGTGTAGCAGCAAAAACTTGGTATTTAATAGGAATTCATTAGCTCATATGGACCTGTGACCAAAATAATTGTTTTCTATTGCCAAAGCTTTATTCTGTAAAACAGGAAGAATTACAAGAGAAAAGAAAGAGCTGTAAGTGTCCTATAGGATTGAAAAGTTGAAAAGCCCAAACTATTCAAGAATTTGGACAACTGGTAGGTCCATTACTAGAAAAATGGTTGAAGCAAAATAATAATAATAATAATAATAATAAGACTACTTTATATGTGATTTTATAGAATAGAAATCTAATTTTAAAAGCATTGGATCTATTAAATTAGGACTGGCATATTTAGACTTCTTTCATTATTTTGTCACTCTTCCCTATGTTTTCTGTGACATTTATACAAATGATTTTACACTTCATACAAATGATGCTAAGCACAAAATAATGCAATGGCTAAATTTGTCACCTTTTTTCCTTGTACTTATCAAAAAACGTTCACAGGGGATATTCATATTCATTTTAATGAGAGTTTTGAAATGCTATTCATTTTGATTTCCTGTAAAAAAGTGATCTTAGAGTCATGGAGTTACTTTTTCCTTCTTCTCAATTATTTATATTTTGTTTTTCAACAAAAGTATGATAAATTTTGTCAAGGATTTAAAAAAAAATTAAGCAAATGTTGTTTCTTAAATGTTTTTTAAGCAAAAAACAAGGAGATGTTTTACTGTTTTTTAAGAGGACTCTGAGAAAAACGCCTAAGCTTGAAGTCAGGTGTTCTGGGATCAATTACTGCCTCTGCCCCTTATGAATGGTGAGACCTTTTTGTGAGTGAAATGACCTCTCTGTGCCTCTGGATCCTAGATTGTAAAATCACAGCAGTCGTACCAATGTCAAGTTGTTGCTCATTGTCACGAGCAATAAACTGCATAACCTTTGGAAAGTGTTTTGTGACTAGCCAGCCATCAAACAAATAAAAGGTACTCTTAAGGTGTCTTTATCTTTTCCTTAAGTGAACATGTTTTATAACATGTTCTATGGAGAGATCGCAGTGCTCTTGTGAGGGCAGATGGTCAAAGGAACAAGATGAAATGGTGTTCAGAATATTTTACCCAAGTTGGAAAAGTGGTATTTTCCTGTGGCGGAAGATGACATGGCGGAAGGGGAGAGCAGAGGGGACTGGTTGCCAGCATCTTGCAGCCCTCCAGTGGAATGCGAGCGCAGCCACTCTTTGCCCTCTTCTTGGTTGGCCTGCCGAGATGATGGGGTGTATCTGCAAAACAGCACAACTAAGACACTGAAGCACATCTACGGGGGACAAGGCAATACCAGGACAAGGAAACAATTGAAAAGAGCTTACTATTCAGACTGAACAACATTCTCAAACAGATTGAATCTAATTATAATTGCTTAGTTCTTCCAGATGATCTGACACCATCTGTGTGAATCTCACAGGGGAAAAAAAAAATAAAGGATTTTGAAAGGGAAATTATGCTTCTGTGAGATATGTAGTTGAAAATCATAAGCAATGAGCAGACAGCCAAGTTAATTGAGAGGGACTCAAAAGCACAGTGCTTGGAAGGATGTGAAGAGGGTGAAAGCACAGACTGAATATGGCAGACAGTGCTAGGCCAGGAGCCAAGGGAACTGGAGTGATGGCCACAGATAGGCATAGGAAATGGAACACAAATTGACAGATCTTTTTTGGGAAAAAAAAATAAATAAATAAAGGAAAACATTTAAAAATACCACATTTATTTGGTTAAAATGGCACTTGACATCATGTCTACATTTTTTTTTTTAAAGAAAAAAAAATGGGCTCACTTTAGTAGACAATAAATTTCTGAAACAAAATCTTGAAATGGAATAATTGCAAGCTGTTTCCTATTATTAAGGGACTGGTGAGAAAAAGGATAACAGGGAAATACCTATTTGGCCAGTGCTCATTTTCACCAGAGTAAGTAAATTCTTAACATCAAAGAAAAGTTGACTCATTAAGTTCATATGTGTTATACCTCTATTAGTCATTCATTTTATATCCTCTCCTCAGATTAAATTGTATAGTAAAGGAAGGCCATGGATTAAATTTTCATTTTAGTTTTTATGATGAACTGAATGATGACTTTGAGATTATTACATTATCCTAGACTAATTCATTATCTAAATGGACTAGCACTCCTGAAAAACTGAAATGAAAACTCTGGAGTTTTTACCAAAAGGATTCTTTAAAAATTCATATCTTAATTATAGTATTTGTCCTCTGATGATGAAAATGTATTTTCTTTGATTCAAATTAGAGCATCCTTCAACCTTTCAACATTAACTGGCCATATCTGTAGACTATATGGGTTGAGGTTTTGCAAGCAGATGCCTCCAAGATGCAAATGTTAGGGAAGTTAATTTTATCTTAATTTATAGAAGTGAGTTCTGAAATCTACCAAAAATTGTTGCTCCCCAAATAATGACATTAGACTGGATTTAATTTATGTAGTCTTGACCTCTACCGGTATCTCTAACCAGAGGCTTATCTCACCAACTCCTCAGGCCAGAGAAAACATTAGGATTAAAATTGATGCCATCCACAATGGCAGATACCTCATTGCAAAGAAAGAAAGAAAGAGGGAGAGAGACAGCACACAAAGTTTACGTAACAACAGACAAAGGCAGCAATGGTGCTGAGAGAAATATCTACCTTAGTCCCTTTTTGGGTAGTGTATTTCTGTCAAGCTGCATGCTGTTAAAACAAAGAAAACCCCTAAGGACATAATGCAAACAAAACCTCCAAATTACACATCCAACAAAAACGGTTCTCTAAACTTCACAAAATAAAATTTTTGTCACACATATTTGATGCTTAACTTATTGGAAAAGGCCAACCAAAGGTGACCAGAGGTCTACTGTTTTAACATGTTCGGTGATAATTTAGTGACAGGATTATGAGCACATAGACTAAGTTATTTGTTGACATAATTCCCCTGTAGGTTCTGTTTACCTACCGCTTTGGTGGTTTTTGCTTCCGTGTGCAACTGACTAGACTTTCACTGTGATTTCAAATGCAAGAGAATCATAGGTGGAAATCAGATAGATCTGCTCTCCCTAAGTTAAAGTGACAACTTCTAATGGATAGAGGAGATATAAAATACCTTAATACTTAATTTTTGTATTCATATTATTTTTAATAAAAATAAAGGCAGATCTATCCATTTGTTCTGCTCTCCCTAAGTTAAAGTGACAACTTCTAATGGGCAGAGGAGATATAAAATAGCTTAATACTTAATTTTTGTATTCATATTATTTTTAATAAAAATAAAGGCAGATCATTCCATTTGTATAGAAGAAAAGAAAAATATAATAAATATCTGCTTGAAATGTAATGTTTCTGGCACCATTTATTTAAATATTTAATAGAATTAATCTATGCCATCTTTTGGAAATTCGAAGTTAGGTATTTAAAAGGCTTTAAGTTTTATCAGGCTCTATTTTAAAGAATTCTCAACTGGCCATAGAAAGGGATGAAAGGATGTGTCTGGAGAAAATGAGAAATGGCCTCTCTAAAAATAGAAGAGGGTGTAACAGCTAAGTCGGACAAGTCTAGGGATTTCTGTTACAATTTCTGGCATGTGAATAACCAAAGAACAAAATCAATTTGAATTTGAGGAATGATAGCTCTCTTCCAGTAGAACCTCCAATGACCAAAATAAATACACAGGATATGCAAAATGGGGATGATACAACACAAATGCAAACACATCGATTTGAAAATTAATCACTCAAAATCAAAGCTAAAATGTTTTCTTCTATGTGTACTCCATTATTTAGCACTGCAGTAGAAAGCAACCAAAGACATTAAATGACTTTATTTATTGGGAATGTCCACATAAGGTAAATATCCTGTTATGTAGACACCAGTTCTAGTATACATTTTGACTACATAAAGTTTTTTCATGGTGTGCATAAGCAAACAAAAAAGAATCAAATTGAACAAATGTGAAAAACCTATAAATAGGAACTATAGTCAATCTAAAGCATTAATATGGTCATGAGCCATTTTAAAGGTTATCTTTTTCACACGTGCAGATTTATTAAAGCTTGACATTGCAAAGGAGATTGAAAATAGGCACTGTTTGCCATAATTATCAATTGGCTAAAGTGCATGTATTTATATCACACAGAGAATTTAATGAAAGAAAAATAAAAAAAATTTAAATTTGCCAATATAAGTTCTTTAAAACTTTAGAAATATCTGTTTGAATCTGGATACTAATCATTTTATAATGTAGACACTTCCCACACACCCTGAAAGGTCACAAGCTCCTATGCCTGCAAGGACCCAGTAGGCCGTGGCAACAATGAGGGAGAGGGGGGATTTTAGCCAACAGTCTAAGGAGGTCAGGCCCCGTCTGTTCCAAGCCAACAGAAGCTCTGCAGGGCTACTTGAGCTGGTATTTCCAAACAAGCCAGCAATGTGTAAAGTTTATTACTACTTTAGATTATTTTTAGTTTGATTAGGTAAGGAAAAAAAAGTTTGGTTAGGTTACAAAAAGCAAAACAAACTAAACAAAATAACTGGGAACTGGTTATGGCTCAGGGGCCACCCATGATTTGGAGCAGCTGGAGGGAAAATTATTGAAGAAATTTTTGTGATTATTTATTATTTTATGACATTTGAATGAAAAAGGAATTTGAACCAAGTGAAAAGCTTTATGAAAAACTATTGATTCAATAATATTAAGATATGAATATATCAGTAAAATATTTTGAAATTGTAGATAGGTAAGTCCTGAACTTTTGCACATCGCTATCATATCACTCTAATTACTTTGTTTGCAATATTTACATATTAGCACATTTTCTGTCTGGTGTGGCTCTTTGGTTTCCTTAGCATTCCCAACGTTCTGCTGGCTGCTTAATTCTAATTAAGACTGGATCTCTCATATGATCTTATTTTCTCTTCAATAGATCATAAACTTTCTCTAATGTACTTTTAAAGATTAGAATAAATTGTTATTACCTGCAAATTTGTTCCCAAGAAAAAGTACAACCTCTCATATAAAAAATTACTTCAAACCAATAATATCCTGGGAGGAATTAATATTTATATCATATATTATACCTAGGAAACTTATTTTATTTTTCACACTTTACTATTCATCAATACATTGCAGTAAGAATCAAGGGCAAAATATGAATTTATTTTAAATTAGCCTAAGGTTTGTTTTAGAAAAATCATTTATCTGGTTATTTTTAATACTGGAACACTCCCATTTGTAAAGCTGGTCTATTTCAAAAACTGATCAACAACAGAAGATTTACTTAAAGAAAATTTGTGACTACATATTTGCCAGTGTATTTGTAAATGAAAATATATGTTAGCTTCTGCTAAAATACAGATAAAAGTAAAATACTAACATTACATTTGTATCTATAAAACTCAATTTATTCTCTGGTTTGATTTGAAGTTTACTTGGTTACAAACAGTTGTCTACTTTTCTGGTTTTTTGATACCTGACAGGCAAGAATTCTACCACTGAACCACCAATGCCTGATTTTTTAATATCTGAAGGCCAGAGAAATAGGTTGATGGCTAAATGGTCAGCTTAATGCAGCCATGTTGGTGATTTAAAAAATTAGTAATTTGGAAGGTGACTTGGGTTAATAAATAATGACCTATTTGCATGTGCTTATGAAATTGTTACTTGGCTTCCTCGCATATCAGTATACAATCAAAGATGCGTTCGTTAAAACTATAGATTGTTAACAGATTTTCAATACAATTTGATTTACTTTTGTTACAAATCTTAAAAATGACATATGAAAGTGCCCATTTACCTTAAAGCGTGGAAACTTAAATCCAAGATGCTGGAGGAAGCCTAATTTCTGAGCTAGAAACTTAAATGAAACAGTACTTGTTTTCATGTATATAGTTGATCTTTACATATGCTATCTATAATGACAAAACTAGAAAGGACACAGATGCAAATGGCTACAGTTTAGTCTCTATCCCCCATGTTTGTCTTGTGTCTCTTGGCCTAGTTTTTTGTTGATGAAGAAAAACATTATTTTATAATCACCTGCCTACCATAGGAACTATCAAGCATAAATATTTAGAAAGAATTTAGAGAATATAAATAATTCTCTTATCGGGGGATGTCTCATGGGCATGGCTGTCCGTGTCCATGAGGATACCAAGAGGTAGAGTGGGAGGGAAGCCATGTTTTACATTTCACAAAGACAAGAGAAATGGAAGAACAGTGGGAAATTTTAGATTGAGGGACAACTAGTGCCATGTGGTAAGAGTCTAGGTAAGAGCTTTAGTCGATGTTTTAAAAAATGAATCTGGAATTCAGGCTGGAAGTCTGGAAAAGAGGTGATAGGTCATCCTAAGTAACAGACTGAGCAAAAGCTTAGGGAACCATATTGGGCATTTCCAGTGGCTGATAGTGCTTTCACAAACAACACAACTAAGACGTGTGGCCAACAGCATTTTTAAAAGCTTTAGGTGTGTCAAGAAACAAATCACATTAAGTTTATCTGGGAAAAGAGGCAATTCAGGACATTTTCCAGGAGGAAGGAGTCAGCACCAAAATACCTGTGAAAGGATTTTTGGGGTGAGAGAATCTAAAGACATTTTGGTTAACAGTGACACTTTCTGGTAACCATATTCAGTAAAGAATGCCTCTTTATGTTTCTCATTGTAAATTAAAAAAAAAAAAACTGCTTAAGCCAATGGGAAACACTTTATAAAATGATTTATTTTCAAGAGGCCTATTAAAAATATTACTGGTGTTATTAATTTTCTCTAAGAATTCATAGCTGACAATTGGCTTTTTTTCCAACTCAACTCCAATTCCCCAGTGATCTTTTTGCTCTTTTCCTATACAAGCACTAATAAAGCAAACTTAACATATTGCTCAGAGCGTAATTGTAGAATCCATTTAAATACGGTCTTTAAAAATGCTCAAATTATCATAAGGAGCTTCGTTGTCTTGGAGCTTAGGCCAAATCATTAACATGTCTTGAGAAGACATCATTTAATACATAAACATATGCTTCGAATTTCATTCAAATTGCCTGTTTAGTACATATGTATGCATTCATATTAAGAAACTTAATTATACAATTACCCTATTCTTCATGGCTTTTTTTTTTTCCTTCTACGAACTTGGTAGTAAGAGCAAACAAAAGGCCCAGCCTCCTTTATCTTCTATCCCTTTAATTTTATATTCCTTTGCAGAGTGGCATTCCCACTGACATCAAGGAAATTTGGTGGGGGAGGAGGGTAGGCACAGAGTAGGGAGGAAGGAGGGGGAAGACTTCATCAATGCCTCTAGGAAAGCTCACCTTTCTGAGAGAGTAGATCTCACACTACCCGTTCTCATGAGCAGGCTCTGCACCTCGTGAGTGCCTGTGGTCAGTCCAGACAGGGAGCCATGATGGCTGAGGGGGAGGTCAATAGACTCAGAGCTCGTATGGAGGCTAGTCATGGACTGGTAACTTGGAGTGTCCTTGCTGCCAGCAGAGGAACTGCTCAGATTGGCAGCCCACACGAGACCACCTGAGGTGAAAGAGTGGACCGATGCTGGGCTGGAAGCCAACGAGTGACTTAAGCTTATAACATCTGTAGTTAAGTCTGAGGGTTTATTGAAGAGAGGGCTGCTGCTGCCACTTAGCCCACCAGCACTGCCCATGCTGCCCGTACCAGACGACGGTGACTCCAGACTGCCTTGCCGCGCTAATGTGGTACTAGGACTGGGCATTACTGAGGAGGATTTCACACCCTCAGTATTAGGTGCAGAGGCAGATTTGCCACCTGCCTTGGCACCAAACAACCTAAAAGAAAAACAAATAACAACTTCAGTTGTTCCGAGACACTAATATCCACATTAAATATCTAGGGTTACAGTACACAGAGCCAAGTGTGCTTTGGCGTCTGAGCTGCCAAGCACTTCCTGTCTCTATGTTAATGAACTTTATAAGCTCGAACTTCTTAATCTCGTGCCAAAAAATCTCTCATATCACCATAAGTGTAAGTTGGTACTGGGCTGCCACCCAGGGGGTGGGGAGGAAAGGGGCAAAATAAAAGTAGATCAAACATGAAAATCCTTGGCTTTCACAGGTTAAGTGATCATGAGAATCTTTCGAGAAAATTAAAGAGTTTGAGCACACTTGCTGTTACCTATTTACAGAACCATTATAATGAAACAACTTCTACGCATTCGGTACGTAACACTTAAAATTTTTTTCTTTTTTTTCTTCCTTTTTTTCATTGTAACAGTTTATTCAGAAACTAAAAGGAGTGCTTAAGGCAAGGTTTGGAGGTTATGTTACTTATCTGGTGGCCTGAGTGACGACAGTTGGTTAGAAATGTGATTGGACACTGTTGGCAACATGTTGGTTTGTGTGTATTTTCCTCAAGAGAGACCAGAGGTTTTATGTCCGTTGCCAGGGCTATTCAAGTGCATATTTATAATAGTGATTTGAAACATAGTTGGTGCTAACTTAGATGTTGGAGTTCAGTTCAGAAAACATTTTAGTTTTGTAAATGGAGCAGATGATATAATCGAATTTATGTAAATATGGAAATAAAGTGACATGAAGTAATGGCGTAATGATTACTAACTAATTAAGTTGCAATGAAATCTGTATTTCCTATAGTAAAATATTTTATGACGAATATGAGAAATTGTTTCATAGGTAATGGGCCACTGGAGGGCACTATAGGCTTTTATTTAAACAACAGAAATAATTACTCCCACTACAAGTCATTATTCTTTCCAATGAGAATCAACATTTCAAAAAGCCAGTTTTTCAGAATTAATATTTCTACTGAGGAATATAAAATCTAGACTTTCAAACAATCATGTATCTGAGATTGCTTGAAATGTAAATATTCCAAGATCCTTTATTTCCCAGTTATCAAGGTTCTTGGTTTATTCATTGTAATAAAAATAAACATTTAAAATACTTAACATATAGTGGACTCTAAATCATACTCTATCATTTCATAAACAAGAAAACAGAACCAGAGAGGTTTAACCATTTGTCCCAAGTTTTTAATGCTATGTATTTTCTTGCCACTTAAAATATATTAGTATTTAAAACAATCATAGTCCACACATCAGTACTAAAGATAGTCCCTATACAGAAACCAAGTTATACTGCTTATCAGAGTCCTACCCAAGAAAGCTGATGAAGCTACGAATCCTTGCTCACCCCAGAGTTGCTACCCTATATGAAACATGCAGCTGTTTTCAAATTCTGTCCATGATATCATACCTTGATTTTCATTAATATGTTAAGATATGGTGCTACATCAATCTTTCCAATCTAATCTCTTACAAGGAAAACAGTTTCATCTACATTCATGATCATTGATTCATTAAGAGCCAGCAAGATCATAAACACTGGAAACGAATACCAATAGTCATGAAGACCTATTTTATTTTTAATTGTGAAAAGGAGAGATGGAAATCTACAGAAACTTTACAAGTGATTATTTTATTACTACCCCTCGGTATTGCCATCTATTTTTAAGTTTCTTATAAATGCTGTTTGTGTTGCTAATATTCGATGGATAGTGGGACTGAGAAGTTTGAGCATTTCTCAAAATGAACACCATTTTTTCCCCTAGCTATTTATAAAATCAGCTCTTTGAAACTCACTGCACTCAGAAACTAAAAGAATCTAAGATATATGAACTTTAGAATATACATTTAGGATATACATGTGTATCCTAAACGTGTGTGTGTGTGTGTGTGTGTGTGTACACACACACACACACACACACACTTAGGATATAGGATTTAGGACACACGTGGATTATTTATATTTATTAAACAGTTCCCATGAATCCTAGAGTATAGCATTTTCTATTTTTCCAGCATCATTTTACACATTCTTACCTTCGAAACGTAGGTGAGGCAATGTCAGGATACTTGGATCCTGGCTGCCTGAGCCCTTGTGTCCCACAGGCACTGGCAGAGGTGGGGCTGGATTTGGGGGAACCTGACAAAGAAACACTCTCTGAATCTGAGACTGCTACTTTTTCCTTCTCCTTGTCTGTCTGGTTGACAGTGACGGGGCTCGAGCGCCCTGACCCAATCTTAGTGGGTTCTCTGAGTTTCGAGGTGGAGGCACCAGCTGACTTGCTGCTGACGTTGGAATCGATGCTGCTGGTGCTGGACCTGTGGCCGCCTCGGCCGGGGATACCGCTGGTGCTGGATTTTGAAGGGCGAGGCAAACTGCGGTACTGGAGGGAGGTCTTGGAGCCCACGTGCAGCACACCATCATCCTGATTCTGGGAACCATCGAGACTGGTTTTTCTCCCTGCATTTGACTTCCCACCAATGGCAGCAGATTTGGGAATTTTACCCAGGGTGGCTGACCCGCTTGTTATTGTTGCCCCACTGCTTGTGATCATAGTAGATGACCCTACTCCGCTTGGTTTCTTAAATCCAAAAGAGCTGGGAGCAGCTGATCTTCCAATGCCTGATGGGGGCTTCTTCCCCTCATCTCCACTGCTTTTTCCTGCATCTGAAGGAGACCTCTGTAGAGAGGACCCTTTTAGGGGAGTTTTGCCTTTCTCTGAAGCTTTGGCATCATCCGTTTTCCCTAATTAACGAGAAATACACAAATATACATGCCTGTGCATTTTGATGAACACAGTAATCTTTCTGTAAACGACGTGTAAAAATGTGAATACATCTTAAATTACTTCAGTTTCTATTTATTTAGATCTCAATAGGTACGAGCTTTAACATATCGAGAGGATTGCCTACAAAGCTATAAAAATATGGCTCTTCGAGGAAATGTGACGAGTGATGAAGGAGATAAAATGAAAACATATTTTTACAGTTTGTTATTCTCTTATATCTCACAACTCTCTTCCTTTATCAGGATAGCACTTAATCTTATCAAGCTAAGTGCTAGAAAAAGAATTCATTTGAATATCTGGAAAATGCTTCTACTTAGAGGCCTCTGGTACAACAATACCTCCCGTGGCACTATTTAAAATTAGGCACCATTTTAAAAATAGGGAAACAATCTTAAAAAAAAAAATTAGTACAATTTGGCAGAAGTCTTTCACTCTCTTCTTTCATAAAGTATAATTCACAAATGCTGTTTCAAATCTCCAGCCTTCCAACTCATCACATTAGTGTGATTGCTCTTGCGTCTCAGTGGTGGTAGTGAAATTTAGTGGCATATTTAACATAAATAGTCCAAACTTTCATAAGGAAGGCAGAAGGAAAGCAATCTTATTTTTTATTAAGCCGATTTCTTTTATTTCCGCATGAACAGAAATGACTACGGCAGAATAAAGACACTCAATAGCCCCAAATTATAATGGTGCTCCCTCAAGAACGCCTAGATTGTTATATTATTATGGACTTATATGGTAAAGTATGTGAAATTTACATGGAAAAGAATAACTATACAGAGAAGAATATGATTTAATTAAAAATAAAGCTCATATTAATGTGAACAAAGATGGAATAGAAACCATAAATTAAAACATTTTTGCATAACAGCTGTGAAGTGACAAGCCTACCCGGGGTCTTGAGTGCACTCGTTCCAGCTTTCTGCCTAGATGACGCTCCTCCTTGGGCAGACATGCCCCTTCTCCAGGAACCTGTCTGGGAGATGGACAGGGAGGCTTTCTGTCCTGTCTTCTCCGGGTCTTCAGGAAGTCCTGAGGAAACACCTTTCCACTTGCCAGCGCCATCCCCATGGCTGTCTAAGTCCTCCTCTGGTTTTTTCAGCTCCTCAGTAGTATCCCATGTCTCATCTGTCGTAGAACGTTTTTCTGAATCTGTCTTCAGCTATGAGGAAAATATTACAAAGAAACTTTGGGCAGAAAAATCTATAAAGTGTGAATAGGCCCTGGAATGTACCTTCAGATAACTGGTTAAAAAAAAAAAAAAAAAGCAGCACTGATTTATATTTCAAAAGAATTCCAAAGACTCCTATTTTTATCTATGACTTCATTTAAGTTTCATTAATTTTGGCCACATAATTCTCACTTGCACATATTAGAGAATGTCAGAATAAATATGTGCAGAAAACCCCAAATTAAATACTCCAGAGAGGAAGGAATTTTCTATGTCAAATTTAACGAGGGAAAGGAGGACAAGAGAAAACCTAATTATCTAATATCCACTTTTGATTTACCATTCTCAAGAGATTTAGTGATTTATTTCAGAGATCAATATAAAATTAATCAAGAACTATCTAAAAATGAGGCTATTAAAATAATTTTTAGGGTTAAAATATCAATATTATAAAAAGAGATATGGAAGAGTAAGTCTTTGGGTTGGCCTGTAATCGATAGACCATGTATGTGTTTAATACATAAACACAAGTTGCTTCGGTTTATACGATTATATCAGATTCAAAGGTCATGCTATATTTTAATCTCAGATGAAACGGTTTGGGGAGTAAACCTGGGAGAAGCACTGGAGAAAGAAGGCAGACAATTCTCACCTGTGTGTTCTTCCTGGAGGGGATTGTGATGTTTGAGTAAGAGCTGACTGAGGATGTGGTGTTTAAGTCGTCCGTGCTGATGTTATCAAGGGTGTCACTGAGACCACTGCTCACAGAGCTGCTGTCATCCCAGCTAAAGGCAAGACACACACAGCAATGAACTACACACAGGAGGCATGAGGGAAGTCACCTATATTTCCATATAACATTTATCATGTATCAGGAAGATAATCCTCACTTTTTAAATCTCATGATGAAAAATTATTGACTTTCCATTTTAGGAGAATCATATTACAAAAGAAATTGAAAGCAGGCCTGAGGATAACCTTATCTGATATTTGCAAAGAATCACTGTTTAGTACAGATCCAGGCTCCAGGGGAGTATCTATAGAATGAATGAAAACGCTAAAACAAATACAGCATGGTATCAGGAAAGAATAAAACCACCAATGATTTTCCCCCCTGGAAAAAGCAACATAGCATATAAGAATTCAGTTTTTGTTCTAAAAGTTTAAAAAACAAAACAAAACAAACAGACACACACACACACACACACACACACAACTGTGCTTCAGTTAGGAATCAGTAAGTCCTTCCACATTCTTTCTCCTACCATAGCAACTACTAAGGATTCACCAACACTTGAACTTTGAGTTTCATTTCTGTCATATCATCACTCCTGCCATACCTCACAGTTTCTGGCCTGGAATCAATAAACAATAACCTCTTATTTGGCTTTCCTGCCTGTGGTCTTTCTCAATACAACTTCATTGCTAAATTTGGGTCAATGATCAAAATGATCACAAAAATTCACATCTGGCCCTGTCACCCCCCTTCTTTAGAGACTTTTCTTTACCAAAGCCATAGATTCCGAAATAGAATGCACCCGCCTCACAGGATGAACATGGAAATCCATTGGGACATAAGAAAAAACATTTGAAATTCTGAATATATTTGTTTTTAATCTAAAGAAGAAAAAACAAAATAGGCTATATTAATATCCATGTGCAGGCTAATGTGTGCATTCTCATTGAGTCAATGTGTCAGATGATGTGGAAGTAATGTAGGATAAGCAGGAAGTAACGTAGGATAAGCAGGGCACCTCCACAGTTCAAAGGGGTGGGATCCAGTTCCCTCATTTACTGGCTGGTTCTCAGTCTACTGTGCTGTCCTGCTGCTTACCCGTGCTCTGTTAAACAAATTCACAAACATGGGATACATATATTAAGTACAGACAAAAGTTAAGTTTCATAAAATGGATAAGTGCCTTTAAAAACAATCTATACATTAGGAGAATATCCGTAATGAAAGCACAAGTAAACCACAGAGGAACAGTGGTGAACTAATAGTTTTCGTCCTCTGGTATGTGTGTTTTATGAGGTGTGTCATAAATTCAAAATAACAGTGATATGTTGAGATCACACATGAAACCAATAAGAAATGCAACTATCAAGAAGAAAATAAAATTTGAATTTATAGCAAACAGTGTTAATGATGATCCTTCCCTAGCTGTATGTTTTGTTTGTGATATTATCTCCTGATAGCATAATCCAATGAAAAATGGGCAGAAGACATGAAAAGACATTTCTCCAAAGAAGACGTGCAGATGGCCAACAGAAACATAAAAAGATGCTCATCATCACTTATCATCAGGGAAATGCAAATCAAAACTATAATGACATATTACCTCATACCTGTTAGAATGGCTAAAATCAACAACACAAGAAACAACAAGTGTTCGCAAGGATATGGAGAAAAAGGAACCCTCATGCTCTGTTGGTAGGAATGAAAACTGGTGCAGCCACTGTGGGAAACAGTATTGAGGTTCCTTAAAGACTTAAACATAGAACTAGTCTACACCAAGCAAAATAAGTCACAAAAACACAAGTACCGCATGATTTTACTCATATGTGGACTTTAAGAGACAAAACAAGTGAGAAAAGTGGGGAAAGAGAGGGAGAGTAGAGAGAGACAAACCAAGAAACAGACTTTTAACTATAGGGAGCAAACTGATGGTTATCGGAGGAAAGGCGGATAGCGGGATGCATGAAACAGGTGATGGGGAGTAACGAGGGCACTTTTGATAAGCACCAAGTGATGTATGGAAGTGTTGAATCATGTATTCTACACCTGAAACTAATGTAACACTGTATATTAATTGGAATTAAAATAAAAACTTCAAAAAACTTAATTTTCCTCAAATTTTAAACGTATAGTGTTATTTCTCTCTTCTCTGGATTCCAGAATCTTCCTCCTAATACTGGAATTGCCTTTACAAAGGTCAATAAATCCATGAATTGAGTGCTTACTATGTGTCCTACTCTTCTAATTACTTTATATTATATAATCCTCAAATAAATCTATGAGACAGGCATTGTAAAGATTAAGGTAGGGGATGCCTGAGTGGCTCAGTCAGTTAAGCATCTGTCTTTGGCTCAGGTCACGATCCTAGGATCCTGGGACCGAGTTGCACATCAGGTGGGACGCTGCTTCTCCCTCTGCCTGCCATTCCCCCTGCTTGTGTGCTCTCTCTCTCTCTCTCTCTCTCTCTCTGACAAACAAACAAATAAAATCCTAAAAGAGAAAGAAAGAAAGAATGAGGAGGGGGGAGGGAGGAAGGAAGGAAGGAAGGGAGGAAGGGGGGGTGGTTTCAGGTAGGTTAAATGACATGCTTAAGAGCACATGATGGACCTGGGATTTAAACCCAGGAATTATGTTCCATGGCTTGATTAGCATTATGCTCCCCTGCCTCCCAGCTTTTCACCCCTTCTCTCTTGAAATATAGCAATGATGAGTCTTCAAGGTCTTTGTAAAGTTCACAGAGTCCTCTAAATCCTTTACTTTTTCCTCTTCTTTGGGATTCAATATTTAGAAATTTATCTTAACTCACCTTTTGCATTCTTTCTTGGAAATTCCCTAGTCTTCCACAACTTCCGTATCACCTCTGTGATTTTGACAGTTAGGTTCACATCTTTAACCAGACTTGTTCCTGACTACCAAATAAGCATTTCCAGCCTTCTACTGGACAGTGTGTCTAGGATGTCTTGTCAACATCTCAAAATCACTCTTCTAGATTACATCATTTCTCCTTAAAAATTATTCTCCCTTTCAGTTACTGACATTACCTATTAATCTTTCTGTCATAAATCTAAGTGTTTTTTCCTCTCTTCCTGGCTCTATTCTTAGTTATCACTAATCCTTGAAAAATCCTTCTCAGCTACAGGTAACACAGCCACCCTTTTCCATATATGCACTGCCTCTGCTTGTCCTTCCTTCCATAAAAGTTATTAGTAAGTATCCACTCTGTTTCATTAAGCAATGAATAAATTATAATCCCTCTCCTTGAAGAACTCAGTGTTTATTGTTGAAGACAAAAATTGAAACAAAAGATGACAATATAACATGGTAAGCTGTTTTAATTAGAGGTGAATGTAAAATGTATGGCATGGCAAATCTTCTATCATCTATTTGAAGAATTGAAGAATTATTTCACAATATTCAATACAAATATTGTGGAGTGATAAAATAATCTATGTTAATCACTATAATGTAGCATCTATCACCTGTTATATTCACTTTTTGTGCCTTTCTATATTCTTGATCATAATCTGATTTACCCAAAGTCAGGATTGTATTTGATTTATCTTTATAATCCTAGTACATTCCATGTTGTCTACTGCTGAAGAGATGACTAGTAGATGTTTGTTAAATGAATGAAATGATTTTACTTTTGAAAATGCTGCTTCTATCCAGTAATGTTAAATTAGAACAAACCCATAATAAATGTAGATTTTGAGAAAATTTTGTTCAACATATTTCTTTGCTAAACAAACTTAAAGGGACAAATTTTGATTGATGACAACATTATCTTCCTAATCTATCCTGTGATTTTGACTTTCATCTTTGATTTTTGTGGATACCAGAATTCTCCCTGGCTAGTATGCAATTAATCTTGTTTATTATGGCACACTTAATTAAGTTGAAAAAGCTTCATAAAAATAGGGGTTTTTTTGCTGAAAAAAATGATAATTTACTCACATAATTAGCTCTGAGGTCTCAAGCCTCATCAATATATTTTCTCCATCCTTTCATTTTTAATTTCATTAAGATGTGCTAAGAATTCTTGATGATATTACTTATAAAAGGGCAACTCTCCTTATCTTCCAAGTTACAGATCTGTTACTCTCCTAAATTTTTCTCAACAATCTAAGACAGCTCAATACATGACAAATCTGTGGATCTTATCCACATAGATTGCATTTACACATTGGATTTTTCCCAGTTTTTAAATACTATGAATAAAACTGTTAACATTCTCCTATATTCTACTTGTGTGACATTTTAGAACAGGCAAAACGACAGATGTGGGATGACCAGTGATGGCCAGTGGTCAGAAGTAGGTGAAGATTCATGGTGTCCATACATGGCTTGAGGCATATGTCAAAACTCAGAACTACAGGGAAAAAATTATTACTCAGTTAAAAGCCAAAAATGTAGCCAGTTAGCCTGTTGGCAAATTACAATTTAGATATACACTAGATTACTAAGTATTCCAAGAATAGGATGATTTTTTTTTTTGGCATGTCTTTTAAGAGTGCGTATTTAAATGTTCAATAAATAACTCAATGGGGCTAGGGATCTCTTTTATTTATCTGGTCGTGCATTTGTAGCTCTGACCCCCATATGTACTTCTGGATTCAAGCAGAAGTAGACCTGCTTGAAAACAGATGTATTATATGTTCAAGGTCTTCTTTTTCTTCCTTTTAATAATGAAGAATTTTGAAATATTAATTAAATTATTATTATTACTATTGTTGTTATTATTATTATTATTATTAGAGAGAGAGAGAGAGAAAGCAGGAGAGAGGGAAGGAGAATCTTAAGCAAACTCCATGCCCAGCACAGAGCCCAACACAGGTCTCAGTCTCACAACCCTGAGATCATGACCTGAGCCAAAATCAAGAGTCAAATGCCCAACCAGCTGAGCCACCCAGGTGCCCCTAACTAAAGAACAGGTAAAATAAGTTTGCAGATTTAAAACCAATTCTGGAGGAAAAGGCTATTTTTCAACACAGTCATATTTTTCATGTAGTAGCAATTCATACAGCAGGTACTCAGCCAGGCTCTACAATA